TGCAGGTAAAGCTGGTGAGTTCAACAGAACATATGGACCTGGATTCCATTGCAAGACCCCAAGAGACAGCTGTCCTGGTGCCAAGAAGGACTTCAGTGCAGCGCTGGAGAGAAACTGGGCCTGGAGATGTGGATTTCAAGAGAAGTGGTGAATGGAGTGACCCAGAGAGAGCATGTAGAACAGATAGAGGATAGACCCTGGGGAAGATCGAAAGTTAAGGAGAAGAGAGAGGAAGAGGACCCAGAGAAACAAGTGTAGAACTGGCATAGAGAGGTGTCCCGGATGCTACTGGTTCAGCAGTTACCAAACGTGTGTTGCAGGGCAGGCATCACTCATCACTCTGGGTGGTGGGTTCTGCTCATACAGGCTGTGGCCTCAGAGGCTTACAGAGTAGGGAGATATTCCCACGAGTGGTAAGGGATTCCAGAGAGAGGGAGCACTCAACAGGGTCGAACCTCTGCAAGGTCAAAATCAGGTAGCGGACAGAGAAGTGTCAGATACAGATATGGCAGCTGAAGGTGTCAGTGGGTCAGAGGGAGGAGAGAAGAAAACAGAATAAACCTAGATGACTTTACAAGGAACTTGACCATTGTCGCTCCCCCTCTTCGTGGAGAAACGACACAGGACCCTGCGCTGTTCTTTTGTCTGCTCGGCCCTTCCCAGGTTTGCTGCTGGTTCTTCCCGGGTTGGCTGCCGTCCCTCCACCTCCGTAGAGGGGCAGGCCCCCCTGCCACTTTCCCCACTTCCTCGGGGGAGCGGCACACCGCAGGCCGGCTCTCTCGGGGGCTGCTCAGATGTTCTTTCAGGTGTTCCCCTTAGATGTTCCTGGTGCATGTTGTCTCTCTCCTCCTTTATAGTCCTCTTCCACCAATCCCAACTCTGCTACCCACACGCCGAGTACGCTGCTCTCCTCTAATCAGGAGCAGGATCAGCTCCTGCAGGTTACTGGTTGAACTGGAGGCAGCTGTGTAGAAGTTGTTTACTCCTCTCCCAGCGTCATATTGTGGGAGAGCAGATGCATAGAATAAGTCTTAATTCCAGTAACTTAGTCTAGTCCGAGTTGCTCCCCACAGACCATGAACTTCAGTTCATGGCTGAGACTGGGTTGAAGGTGAGGGGGCGGCAGGCAAGCGTTTCCCAGAAGCCAGAAGGGAGGCAGTCATGATCCAGGAGATGCGCTGTGAAATCTCTGTTCATGTAGAACAAAAGCTGCTGGATGCTGGGTTGGGTCTCTCTGGCCGCCCTAAGCACCCCGCTATTCGGTTTTCTCCTAAGTTGTAACGTTCTGTCTTCATTCTGTCCCTTTGTTCCCCGGGAAGTTTTCTTGGACTCTTGGGTCCCCACTTCCTGTTTCTTGGTCCTTGCTCCTCTGCCTAGTGACAATCTGCCCTTATCTGTGTGGGCTCCCGACCTGCGGCCAACAGCCTTCTGTTTCTTGTGGCCCTGGCTCATTTCTTTGCTAATTTAGCAGAGAAGAAGCCTTCCTCGTCCCTCCCCCAGCCCGCGCCTCTCAAGGCTGGCAGGTGCCTGACTTCTGAGCAGCCGCTGTCCTCAAAGGCCCTCTCTCTGAGGGCTGATGGATCCGCAGGGTCCTCCTGACCTCGTCTCGTTCTGCTTCTAGACTATGCACACTCTCGAAGGCTGACTCAGCACCATGTAGCTTTGCCTCTCCAGACTCAAGTTCAAAGTCTGATTCATGGTAAATGCTCAAGAACTGTTGCACATGAGCTAATGAATGAATCCAGACTTTGCTATTCCTGTGAGTAATTCATTCATTCAACCAATAGAGATTGAGGACATGGTGCTCCAGGTATGGTGCCCACCACTTGGGAGGCAATGGTGAGCAAAACGGACCTGCTCCTTCCTCAAGGTGCTGTCTGGTGGGGGAGGTGGTGTTACTCAAATAACTCTTGCAGAATCTCAGACCCTCAAGGACTTTAGCAATCCCTTCATTTTATTTTCTTCTATTTTAAACTTGATTTATTTGAAAGGCAGGAGAGAGAGAGAGAGAAGGAGAGAGAGAGAGAGACACTGATAGAGCACACCTATCCACTGTTTCACTCTCTGAATGTTTGCCACAGCTGCAAGTGGGGAACTCAAGCCACGTCTCTCACACGTGGGGCAGGAACCCAAGTACCTGAGTCTTCACTGCTGCCTCCCCAAGTCTACACGAGCAGGAAGCTGGAGTCAGGAGCAGAAGCTGGATTCAAATCCAGGTTCTCCAATGTGGGATGCAGATATTCTTTTTTTTTTTTAAGATTTATTTATTTATTTGAAAGTCAGAGTTATACAGAGAGGAGAGGCAGAGAGAGAGAGAGAGAGAGAGAGAGAGAGAGAGGTCTTCCATCCGTTGGTTCACTCCCCAATTGGCTGCAACGGCCCGAGCTGTGCCGATCCAGAGCCAGGAGCCAGGAGCCTCTTCTGGGTCTCCCACATGGATATATAACATTCCATTATACACTGAAACCTGAGTTTCAGAGCAAGTCACACACAGGGTGGCGCTCAGAACACTGAAAGGGTAGGAGCAGGCTGGCAGTGGCTGATTTTGAGTTGTCTTCGTCTTCTCCTATAGGCTGCGTCTGTTTTCCAAATGTTTTTACTTGGGCATGTAAACAGAAAAAAAAGTTATTTTATAACATTAAACAATGAAAAAGACTTGAAGGATCCTCTTGATAGATCTTTTGTGGCCTAGAACCTAAGGCTCATGAAGGCAAAGGCAGTGGCATCTCAGAATTTGACAAACCTCCCTTCAGTCAGTGTCCAGTTCAGTTTCAGCCAAAATAAGAATGGGCTGAGCTGTCTTGCATCCCTGCCCCTGCTCCCACTCAATCCTTTCTGACTGTCTGTCTGGCAGGAGTGATTCCTTCCTTCACTCAGCTAAGCAATGTTGAGCATCCACAGGGGCCAGCAAGGTGCAAGGTGCTGGATATGAAATGAACTCTGCCCTTGGTAGCCTGTGTGGCCTCATGCTGCCTTTCTGACCATCAATTGTGATGGCCCAGGAAACACCTCCAGTCATTGCTTTTCCCTGTCCTGTGCTCTGCTCCTGAGGAGTTCATACCTGCCCCGCCCCACTCAGCTCCTGCAGGGTTCACAATTGCCTTGCCTCACTCAGCTCCTGCAGGGTTCACACCTGCCCCTGCTCCACTCAGCTCCTGCAGAGTTCACACCTGCTCTGCCCCACTCAGCTCCTGCAGGGTTCACACCTGCCCCACCTCACTCAGCTCCTGCAGGGTTCACACATGCCCTGCTCCACTCAGCTCCTGCAGGGTTCACACCTGCCCCTCTCCACTCAGCTCCTGAAGGGTTCACACCTGCCCTGCCCCGCTCAGCTCCTGCAGGGTTCACACCTGCCCTGCCCCACTCAGCTCCTGCAGAGTTCACACCTGCCCCACCCCACTCAGCTCCTGCAGGGTTCACACCTGCCCTGCCCCACTCAGCTCCTGCAGAGTTCACACCTGCCCCGCCCCACTCAGCTCCTGCAGGGTTCACACCTGCCCCGCTCCACTCAGCTCCTGCAGAGTTCTCACCTGCCCCACCCCACTCAGCTCCTGCAGGGTTCACACCTGCCCTGCCCCACTCAGCTCCTGCAGAGTTCACACCTGCCCCGCCCCACTCAGCTCCTGCAGGGTTCACACCTGCCCCGCTCCACTCAGCTCCTGCAGAGTTCTCACCGCCCCGCTCCACTCAGCTCCTGCAGAGTTCTCACCTGCCCTGCCCCACTCAGCTCCTGCAGGGTTCACACCTGCCCCGCTCCACTCAGCTCCTGCAGAGTTCTCACCTGCCCCTGTCCCACTCAGCTCCTGCAGGGTTCACACCTGCCCGGCCCCACTCAGCTCCTGCAGAGTTCTCACCTGCCCCGCTCCACTCAGCTCCTGCAGAGTTCTCACCTGCCCCTGTCCCACTCAGCTCCTGCAGGGTTCACACCTGCCCCGCTCCACTCAGCTCCTGCAGAGTTCTCACCTGCCCCTGTCCCACTCAGCTCCTGCAGAGTTCACACCTGCCCGGCCCCACTCAGCTCCTGCAGAGTTCTCACCTGCCCTGCTCCACTCAGCTCCTGCAGAGTTCTCACCTGCTCCTGTCCCACTCAGCTCCTACAGAGTTCACACCTGCCCGGCCCCACTCAGCTCCTGCAGAGTTCTCACCTGCCCCGCTCCACTCAGCTCCTGCAGAGTTCTCACCTGCCCCTGTCCCACTCAGCTCCTGCAGAGTTCACACCTGCCCCGCCCCACTCAGCTCCTGCAGAGTTCACACCTGCCCCTGTTCCACTCTACTACAGATAATGACATCCCCTGGTCTCTTTCTGGGTGTGGCCCATGCAGCACTCAGGTCCCGGTAGCAAACAGCGTTGCAATCACAAGGGCTTGACCAATGAGACAAGTAAAGGGACAACTCGCAAAGATGTAGGCAAGGTTTAGGAAACCAACTCAGCGTGATGATGGCCCCAAGGACCAGGAGCAGCAGCAGCCATGAGCTCAGCAGGCATGAATGGAGAATCACACTGTTGGAGCAGAACAGAGATATTGTGATCATCTGTACCCAGAGAGTAACATGGGCATCAAACAAGAGAGAATGAGGAATAACTAATGTGACCACTCACCTCCTCCTGAAACCATAAGCCCCAGGGCAAGGAGGCCCAGGAGATAACAGCTCATCTTGCCAGGTGTTACCCTGCATAGCTTTATGGTGGATGCAAGTTAACTGTGAACGTCCTTCCTTAGGAACCTTCTTGAAAGATGGTGTGGGTAGATCAATGGGGGAGACATTTTACATCAGGTGTGTTCAAATCCGGCCTCGAAGTAATTAATCCTCCAACCTCTGCTCCTGTGGGTACTTGGAAAATCCTATTCCACAGACTAGATCAACATATGGAAACTTTGTAGGTTTCCCCCACATTTTGTACTGGTTCAATTTGGAGTGAATCTGGAGGGTGAGGTGTGGTTTGCTGATCTGAGTACCTAGACTGTCTCTTGAGTGTCTTTTTTTTTTTATTTTCATAGTAGACCTCAAAGACAGAGACGGGAAGCTCACGAAGATACCCACAAGCAAGGCAGGTATGGCCATTAACACACGCTGTTCTAAAGATGGGTCCTCTCCACACCTCAGCTGTAGGGACTTTCAGCAGCGCCCCTACCCCCACCCTATGCCACACCAGGGATCCAGAAGCAGAGGGAGGGGGATGGGAGAAGCGGGCGGGGGGGGGGGACAGGAGGAAGTAGGGGGGAGAGGAGGAAGTGGGGGGACAGGAGGAGGGGGTTCTGAAGGGAGAAGACCGTAGGGCTTCTGGACCCCACTGGTGAGGGTGATGTGAGCGGGGGCGGGTGGCTTCCCCCTGGTCTGCACAGCTTCCTCCCTCGCTTCCTGTTTGCTACCATCGTGCCAGCCCCTCACTGTAGTCCTGGCCATGGCGCGGGCGGGGGCTGCTTTTGTCTGTGCACCTCTCCGAGGAGACAACGCTCCCTCCCCCAGACTCCTCTCAGGTCACACAGCTTCCCTGTTGTCAGCTGGGGAAACTGAGTCTCAGGGAAGCAAGTTGCAAGGCACAGGGTGCATGGGTGGTCTCAGAATGGAGGTCAGAGCCTATCTTTTGGCTTCCCAGCCACATTTTGTTCTCCATGATGCTGAAGGAGTTCTTGGGGCAAGAAGGTAGCAAGGGATTTAAGGATGGGCTGGGCTGGTGACAGGTGGGGAGCTGTGGGGGCTGGGCGTGAAAAGCACGCGGGCAGGGTCCCCAGCTGTCACCTCCTGAGCAGCAGCAGCGAGAGTGGCATCTGAGACCTTGCTAGAGAAGCAAATTCTTTTTTTTTTTTTTTAAGATTTATTTATTTATTTGAAAGGCAGAGTTACAGAGAGGCAGAGGCAGAGAGAGAGAGGTCTTCCATCCGATGGTTCACTCCCCAGATGGCCACAACAGCCAGAGCTGTGCCGATCCGAAGCCAGGAGTCAGGAGTTTCTTCCAGGTCTCCCATGCGGGTGCAGGGGCCCAAGGATTTGGGCCATCCTGCGTTGCTTTCCCAGGCCATAGCAGAGAGCTGGATCAGAAGTGGAGCATCTGGGACTCGAACTGGCACCCATATGGGATGCCAGCACTGCAGGCTGCAGCTTTTACCCACTATGCAATGGTGCCAGCCCTGAGAGGCAAATCCTTAGGTCTTGGTCCAGACTGTACTAGATCAGAGACTGCAGGGGGTGGGAAGGCTCTGGAATTCCATTCCTAATGAGCCTCCAGGAGGAGCTGCAGCAAGTCAAGGTGTGGCAGCCATGCCCTGAGGAGGAAGTAAGTGTGGTGGACAGGACAGAGGCCTGGCCTCAGTATCAGGAGGGCTGGACAGGCACTTCATGGTTTCAGTGGTACTGACCTGCAAATGAGGAACATTCAAGGCCACTGCAGCCCTCGTTGTAACAGCAGGAGCCGGAGAGTAACTCAGCTGTCTGCCACAGGGGGCTGGTCCCAGGGACCACTGCATCCATGTGCAGGAACCCTGTGCAGCGTAGGAAGGGTAAGGGCCTCGGGAGGTCTGTGTGCAAAGCAAATCCAGGGAGTGGTAGACACCAGAAAGGCAGCACATAGACGAGTCAGGATAACATGTTCACTTTTTATTTTCAAAGATTTATTTATTTATTTTCAAATCAGAGTTACACAGAGAGAGGAGAGGCAGAGAGAGAGGGAGATAGAGAAGAGAGAAAGAGAAGAGAGAAAGAAAGAGAGAGAAAGAATTCCATCCGCTGGTTCACTTCCCAATTGGTTGCAACGGCCGGAGCTGCGCCGATCTGAAGCCAGGAGCCAGGAGCTTCTTCCAGGTCTCCCACATGGGTGCAGGGACCCAAGGACTTGGGCCATCTTTTACTGCTTTCCCAGGCCATAGCAGAAAGCTGGATTGGAAGTGAAGCAGCCGGGTCTCAAACTGGCGCCCATATGGGATGCCGGTGCTTCAGGCTACGGTATTTACCCACTGCGCCACAGCGCCGGTCCCACATGTTAATTTTTGAATCAAAATGAGGAGCATGATACATACGTACGTGTATCTGCTTGCATCTACGACTCTGGACAGATAGACACAAGAGGCCAATAGGAGAAGCTTCTGAGGGTGGAGGAAAAGGAGGGATGAAGGCAGAAGTATGTGGCTGACTTTTCATGGCATTTCCTTTTATTTTTTTTTAAAGATTTATTTTATTTGAAAGGCAAAAAGAGAGAGAGAGAGAAAGAGAGAGAGAAAGGGAGAGAGAGATCGTCCATCCGCTGGTTTAACTCCCCAATTGGCTACGACGGCCAGGGCTGGGTCAGGATGAAGCCAGGAGCAGGGAACTCCATCCAGGTCTCCCACGTGGGTGGCAGTGGCCCAGGCACTTGGATCATCTTCCACTGCTTTCCCAGGTGCAGGGCCGCCAGGACTGCAGTATGGGATGCTGGCATCACAACAGTACGCTTCACCCACTGCGCCACAGTGCCGGCCCCAGCAATTCCTTTCCAAGCCAACTGTCAAGCTCTGCACAGAAGTGCCCTGTTCAGATAAAGTGAAAATGGCCCTGGGTGCATTTCAGAAGCTGCTTACCACAGAGACAGGATGGTTGGCATTTGATTCCAGGGCAAGTCTACCCTCCCTCCACAGAGTGGCCGACAGAGGTCAGGGCACCAGGCTCAGCCTACACTCCCTGGGTCTGCTTTCCAGCCCAATGGCCCCCAAATAGCCAGGCACTGGGGTGGAGTGGGGGAGCTGGAGCTGATTACTGGTCCCAGGACCAGCAGTTCTGAATCTGTTAGAACCATCTGGGAAGCGCTGGGCCCTATTTCTAGACCACACAAGTCAGAACCCCTGGGGTTGGGGTCCAGGCATCCGTGCCTTTCAAACGCCTCAGTCGTGGTCCAGAACCACTGTCTTGGGCCATTTATCCACACGATGGAGAAAGGGAGAAGAGGTGTGCCATAGCTTCAAAGAGGAAAGTGACACACCCCATCTGGGGTCAGAAAGCGGTGGCTGTGTCTGGCTTGGCTGGACCATGTGCTCAGCATGGCTTTTTTGCCTCCTGGCAGCCCAATTCTGAAACGAAGTCCTGACATCACCAAGTCGCCCCTGACAAAGTCAGAGCAGCTTCTGCGCATCGATGACCATGATTTCAGCATGAGGCCTGGCTTTGGAGGTACGGGACGGCCACTCTGGGTTGGAGCGGGGAGCACCTTTTCTCTTAGGGTCTGCATATTTGTCTGTGGGCAGAACTCAAGCCAGTAGACCACTGAGCTTTGCGCTAGCCCGGTCCCATCTGCCCGAGTTGCATTGGTGCACAAGGCTCGAAGACCACACGGTTTTCTGAGCATAAGCCCCACCCACAGCTCTGCTGACATGTTCTCGGGAGACACCTGCTACTGGGTGGCCAGGCCACCCAGCTGTCCTTGGACCCCAGTTTCTGACAGGAAGGGATCGGGATCAGAGGCTGGCAGCTGGGTGTGGGAAGATGGGGCAGCTGCAGCCCGAAGCTGCCTCCTGAAAAATGCCTCTGAAATAACAACCTTGGACTCCGTTTGGGCTCATCTGGGAGCTGACAGACGGGCAGAGTGTGTTCTGCTGGGTTCAATGAAATGAAATAGCTTGAGAAAAATCATGACCAGCGCAGAAGAAAGCCGGAGCTCCTGGAAGTTTAGCTGGCAGCTGTGGGTTTCAGTCCTGGCCTTTGGAGGGTTTTTCCCTGCCAATATATATATTATTCCCTGCATATATATTACATATTATTTTTATGATTATTAATATATTATTTAGTAATAATAGATATTATTTATAGAAATATATTAAATATATATTTTAGAAATTGTTCTCATGCATTTTATTCCCTCCAATTACCTTATTCCAAAGAGTAAGCAGGTTCTAGAAGGAGTCTATGTCCACCAAGAATCTACCACGGTTAACTCCAAACACATCTTTTCACTCCGTGAGGATTCAAGTGAGCACCTTCCCTGCCCCTATGTCCTGAAAACAGGGAGCAAAGGGGAAGATCACTTTCCTTTATGATCCTATATCGATTTTGTTTTAATCCATTTTTATTTTTTAAATATTTATTTTATTTTATTTATTTGAAAAAATTACATACAGAGAGAGAGAAAGAAAGGTCTTCCAACCACTGGTTCATTATGCAAATGTCCACAATGGCCAGGGCTGGGCCAGGCCAAAGCCAGAAGCCAGGAGCTTCCTCTGTGGGTGGCAGGGGCCTAAGCCCTTGGGCCATCTTCCGCTGCTGTTTCAGGTGCATCAGAGAGAGCTGGATCGGAAGTCGAGCAGCTGGGACTCAAACTGGCACCCATAGGAGATTCTGATGCTGCAGGTGGTGGCTTAACCCACTATACCACAATGTCAGCCCCCAGTCCATTTTTATTTTAAAAGGTTTTTTTTTTTCATTTATTTGAGAAATAGAGTCAGAGAGAGCTCCCACTTCTCCTTCACTTCCCAAATGCCCCCAATAGCTAGGGCTGGGTTGGGCCAAAGCCGGGAACCAGGAACTCCATCCAGGTGTCCCACATGGTGGCAGGAACTCTGTTACCTGGGTCATCATTGCTGCCTCCACTCACTGTGTCCATTGCTGCTTCACTAGCAGGAAGCTGCAGTCAGGGGCTGGAGCCATGTGTCAAACCTAGGCACGCTGATGTGGGGTATGAACATCCTAACTGGTGTCTTAACCACGAGGCTAGCTGCCTGCCCTAGTTAGCTTTTTGTCACTGTAATGAAATACCCGAAGCAGACTACTTTGATAAAGGAAAGAGGTTTATTTTGGCTCATCGTTCTGGAGGTTCAGTTTCCAGTGTGATGCAGGCTCTGCACCCCATCAAGGTGGGAACATGCGAGTCTCTACATCTGTGTGGCCTCCCTCCTTCTACAGTCCCCAGGACTCAATGATGGGGCCCCACCCCAATGCCTTCATTCAGTCTAATCCCTTCGCAAAGGCTCCCCCTCCAAAAACTATAATTGGATCAAGTTTCTACTCTCTTGCTTCCTTTAGCATAAGACTTTGAAGACTGAACTCCTGTAACAGTTCAGGGGGACAAATACTCAAGCTGTAGCAAACATTAAACATTTTGTGGCCCAGGAATGACAAAAAAAAGGGGGGGAATCCCTGATTTTAAGACCATCCTGGTGTATCAGGTCTCTCTTGGAAGCTGCTCCATCATGGAGCAAAGATACAGATCTGTGGGTTTGGCAAATGACCCGAATAGGGCTTCAGTTCTGAGTGTTATTACCATGCAATGCCTTTCTCATGGCCAGACAAGAGCCACTGGCTTCCATGATGAAAGAGAGTGCAAAGTCATGAGATACCTATGGAAAATAAAGTGGGTGACCTCATGCTAAGGAATCAATTACTCCTTAGATGAGACCTGGCCTTTGACCTATGTCTTCACCTTCAGTGAGCATGTGGACTCACAGAGTAATGCTACCTATAAACCTCATTGTTTCCGAATCACCTGGATGATTCAGACCCCCTCACACGCCCCCAGTCTTCTTCACCTTTGCTAGAATATTCCAAGGAGCCAGGCTGTGAGTCCGTCCTTTCATCTCTGGTTTGACCTCGGGTCGATGTGATCAAACCTTCAAATCTCCCATGACGTGGAGGCTCCAGGTGATATGTGACGTTTGCTGGTCCCTCCTATTGTAAAAGTTAAGAAAAACAAATACTCTTGTCATGCCCTATCCCAGGCCCAGCTATTCCTGTCGGCGTGGATGTGCAGGTGGAGAGCTTGGACAGCATCTCCGAGGTCGATATGGTAAGTGCTCCTCTGACCAGGGCTGTGGGCCTGTCCTGGGCCTGGAGATCCCTCAGTCTTATGACTCCCTTGGGAGGTGGGAATTCCCACACTCATTTTACAAATGGCTCAGGGAGATTATGACACAGGTCCAAAGCCACCCAAAGGACATGAAAGCTAGAGGAAGACTTCCATCTGTCCCCCTGTGGCCTCTGGCCACTGGGATGCATTTTCTGGGCCAAGGCTTTCAAATGTAAACAGCAAGGTTCAAGGTCACAGCCATCAAGTAGCCATACACCTCTTATGCCTGCTGATTCTATGCCTGGCTCTGAAATATGGTAAAGCAAAGTGTCTTTTGTGGTTTTTGTGTTTGTTTTTGGTAGATTCAGGTAAAAAAAAATGGAACATTCTACAACTTCTTGACTTAAAGGACTTATCCTAATGTGTGTCCCCCAAGAAACAGGCCTGAGACAAGTGTTCTAGCCTAAGTAGCTTACATGGGGAGTGAACCCGGGAAATCCTGAGATAGGGGAGGGAAGGAAGACCAAAGGCGGAGCTGTCAACCCAGTTGCTGCCATAGATCTCAGTCTCACTGGGATAAGCAGGAGTCAGCCAAGAACACACCTCAGCTGATGGGCCAGGAGCCTGGGTGCTTCTCCATCCTGCCCTTCTCAGCTTGAAGGCTGCATGCAGGTACCAGCTATGGCACTGTCAGCTTGAGTTACAGATGTCAGCAGCAAATGGAGTGTGGGGCTGGGGGACGCCGTTGGCCACAGTTCTCTGGCTGGGTTCCTCTCTGCAGCGCTCCCTTCCTCCTGCTGCAGAGACCCCGGCCCTAGGTGCAAGCCCTCACCTGGCTCAGTGTCATTCCCCAGCCGGTGACGGCGCCGCGGGGGTTCCCAGCCTCCTGCTGACGTTGCAGCGGGTTCCCTCCTTTGCCTGCATCCCCAGGACTTTACGATGACCCTCTACCTGAGGCACTACTGGAAGGACGAGAGGTTGTCCTTTCCAAGCACCAACAACCTCAGCATGACATTTGACGGGCGTCTGGTCAAGAAGATCTGGGTCCCCGACATGTTCTTCGTGCACTCCAAGCGCTCCTTCATCCACGACACCACCACGGACAACGTGATGCTGCGCGTCCAGCCCGACGGCAGAGTGCTGTACAGCCTCAGGTAGGAAGAGCCAACGGTCCCTCATCCCAGCCAAGTCCGGGGTTGCTTCCCCAGCTGCTGTTCTGCTGTGCAGCTCTGCACATCTGACTTTGAACTTCTCGGTAGCTGCCAGCTTCTCACATGAAGGAAAACGAACCTCACACAGAAGTAGAACTTTGAGGGGTGGGCACGGTGATGTAGTGGGTAAAGCCGCCGCCTGTAGTGCCGGCATTCCCTATGGGCACTCGTTCAAGTCCTGGCTACCCCACTTCCAATCCAGCTCTCTACTGTGGCCTGGGAAAGCAGTAGAAGATGGCCCAAGTCCTTGGGCCCCTGTACCCGCGTGGGAGACCTGGAAGAAGCTCCTGGCTCCTGGCTTCGGATTGGCAGCTCCGGCCATTGTGGCCAATTGGGGAATGAACCAGCGGATGGAAGACCTCTCTCTTCTCTGCCTCTCCTTCTCTCTCTGTGTAACTCTGACTTTCAAATAAATAAGTAAATCTTTTTTAAAAGAAGAAGAAGGAGAAGGAGAAGAATTTTGAATCAGTCTGGAAAGTGCATTTGGAGAAATTTCTCAAGGTGATTCTTAATGAGTTATGCCCCATAACTGTATATTACATTTCAATTTTTAAAAATATTTATTTATTTATTCATTTATTTGAAAGTCAGAGGTTCAGAGTTACAGAGAAGGAGAGAGATCTTCCATCTGCTGGTTCACTCCCCAGATGGTTACAATGGCCAGGCTTGGAGCCAGGAGCTTCATCTGGGTGTCCCACACGGGTGGCAGGGGCCCAAACACTTGGGTCATCTTTCACTGTTTTTTCCGGGTGCATTAGCAGGGAGCTGGATCAGAAGGGGAGCAGCTGGGACTCAAACCAGCACCCGCGTAGGATGTTGACATCACAGGCAGCAGCTTTACCTGCTACACCACAATGCCATTTCCTATATTTCAACTTTTAAAAGATTACTTTAATGAAAAAAAGTTTATTTCTCTAGAAGGAGTCAGAAAAAAAAATAGATAATATGTTCTCAAAGACTTGCCTCTTCCAATCTCCCGGATTTCCATTTTTCTAGTACATTTTAAAACTTTGGTTGAGGAAATTTCTTTGCCCCTCCTGACCAACTACAGGGATTGCTTCTATTCTTTTTAAAAAATATTTATTTGAAAGGCAGAGTTACAGAGAGAGAGAGCGAGAGAGAGATTTTCCATCCACTGGGCCAGGCGGAAGCCGGGAGCCAGGCACTTCTTCCAGGTCTCCCTCGTGGGTGCAGGGACCCAAGCATGCAGGCCATCTTCCACTGCTTTCCCAGGCTCATCATCAGGGAGCTGGATGGGAAGTGGAACAGCGGGGACTCAAACCAGCATCCACATGGGATGCCAGCGCTGCAGACGGTGGCTTAACCTGCTGTGCCACAGCTCTAGCCCCAGGACAATTTTGTACCACATGGGACAATGTTTACCATGTAGGAAGAGTTTAACAAATGTTTCATAAATTAAGAAAAAAAAAAAAAAAGAAATGTCTGATTACTCAGTGAGCAGTGCTGTGAGGACGCTTTCCCTAGAGCAAGCACTGCAGGGCGGCTGTCTGCATGGGCAGCTGCAGGCTCTCACGGCGGGCACGTGGAGAGGAGCTCAGGCTGCGGCTGCGTGCCGGGACTGACTCCTCCTGCGCTGTGCAGATGGCAGCTTTCTGTCCTGTGGCCTTTGTTTTGGGTTCCGTGTTGACGGATGATGACTGTGATCCACACACTGACGTCTAATTAGGCAGTTCCCCAGGTCATTGCACAGCAGAGCTGCCGAGAGCCCAATGCTAAAGCTGAGTTTCTGTCCCTGGCCCCCAAAGGAATCTGAGGGTATTTCAAAAAGTTTGTGGAAAGTGAAATTTTCTCTCTGCCTCTCAATGAAACGTAAACTTTTTTTTAATAAAGAGATGTTTCTTTCGGTGTGAAAAATTTTTGGAATCTGCACTTTTTTTTTTTTTTTTTTTTGACAGGCAGAGTGGACGGTGAGAGAGAGAGACAGAGAGAAAAGGTCTTCCTTTGCCGTTGGTTCACCCCCCAATGGCTGCCGCGGCTGGTGCGCTGAGGCCTGTGTACCATGCTGATCCGAAGGCAGGAGCCAGGTGCTTCTCCTGGTTTCCCATGCGGGTGCAGGGCCCAAGGACTTGGGTCATCCTCCACTGCACTCCCAGGCCACAGCAGAGAGCTGGACTGGAAGAGGGGCAACTGGGACAGAATCCGGCGCCCCAACCGGGACTAGAACCCGGTGTGCTGGCGCCGCAAAGCGGAGGATTAGCCTAGTGAGCCACGGCGCTGGCCTGCACTTTTTTCAAGATATTCATTTTCTGTGAACTTTTTGAAGATCCCACATATACATGGATTTCAAAGAATATTTGTGCAAAATTATCTTACTTTAAAATGTTTTCCAATTTAACTAGGAGAGAGAGAGTGAAAGCGCACACTTTGATCTGCTGATTCACTTTCCAAACACACATAATAGCCGTGGCCGGACCAGGCTGAAGCCAGGAGCTGGGAATTTAATCCAGGCCTCTTGCATGGGTAGAAGGAACCCAATTACTTAGACTATCACTGTTTCTTTCCAGGGTTTGTATTAGCAGGAACCTGGAGTCAAGAGCTAAAGCCAGATTCAGGTACTCTGATATAGAATGTAGGTGTCATAACCAGTTAGGTAGAGTTAACAATGGAAGTGTTGAAAAACCAATTCCACAACTGGTCAGCTTCAGGCTATGACAGAATCAATGATTATGGAGGGGAACAAAAGACTTGCGAGGGCTTTCTTGGGAGAGAGTTGTGGGTGTGCTGCAAGGAGGCCACCCCTGGCTGCTTGGAGAGCATGGTGTGCGTACGCCTACAGTTGGGGGACTGCGTGCATGAGATAGAGAGATGGGATTTGCTGAAGCACCCTGGGGCAGAGCCAGGAGTTGCCGCTGTAGTGGAACCAGTCTGTCCTCCCAGGGTCTTTGGAAATAGGTTAAGTGTGTGGAGCGGATGTTGGGTGAACCCAGAGCTGGAGGGGGGTGTCCTGTGGAGATTGGAGACCTGGAGTGTGGAGGAGCCTCACCAGCAGGATGAAGAATCCAGGAAAGAAAGGATCAGTCTCCCCATGAAGCAAGTCCAGAGAGCACTCAGCCACTCAGCCAGAGGGCTGTCCTGCCGCTTCCACCTGTGCTGAGAGGTGACCCGAGGTGGCCAGGAACCGAGCACTCAAATGGAAACTTTATGGGGTGGGAATTAGGGCAGAGTGCCTGGCTTTGGGTCCTGGCTCTTCTTCCTGTCCCAGCTTCTCGCTAACACACGCTGAGAGGCCATGATGTAGCTGGGTTCCTGTCACCCATGTGGAATGCCTGCATTGAGTTCCTGACTCAAGGCTTCCCCAGGACATTGCAGGAATTTGGGGAGTGAGCCCCTGGATGGTCATTTTCATATTCTTTCTCTCCCCCCTCAAATAAATATATTTTTTAAAAAATGCCAACTTTGTATCTTACTGAAGAGGGGGAGAAAAAAAAGTCTTACTTTGAATGAAATCTGAAGTGTTGATTAGTATCTTCGACCCAAACTTTTAATTTCTGAAGTGAAATGTGGCTTCTGACTTAAGAGGATTTTGACCCTTACACGAGAGTGAGCACAAACAGTACCTACCAAGTTTCCTTCCAGGGCAAGAGGAGATCCGCTCCAATGAACCAATTTCAAAGGCTTAGGAACACGAAACTAAACATGGGTTTTGATTATACCACAGACGCTGTGTAACGTAGATTACAAGAGGAAAAGCGTCAGGTCAGGGTGGAATAAGACAGTCTGATGATGTATGCAGTTCTAAAGACATCCGTTTCTATACCAACTAATACAAAGAGAAGAGATATTCAATCCCTATGTTCATGGGGGAAGATTTCCTGCTTCTGATATTTCAAGTCCCTTAAATTAGCTCCAAGTGTCCCCAGACTCAATTCCTAGCCACTTTCTTGTTGGTGATATCACTAGGCGTGGTTGTGCTGGTGATGTTTCCGTAAAGACGGAGGCCCACCCACCAAGTCAGTTGCCTGCCTAGTCCCCTGCCCACCTTGTTTATCAGGATTTCCAGGGGACATAAGACTGTGCAGCTTCTGGTGATCCAGACGCCTCCCAGAGGGGCAGGCATTTGGTGCAGTGACCAAGAAACCACTCGAGGCGTCCACATCCCACGTCAGAATGCCTGGGTCCAAGTCTCAGCTCTGCTTCTGAGTGCAGCTGCTTCCTACTGTGATGGCCCAAGTACCTGGGTCCTTGCCACTCACGTGGGAGACCCAGGTTGAGTTCCAGGCTCCTGGCTTCAGCCTTTTCCAGGCTTGGCTGTTGCAGGCTTTTGGGAGGTGAACCAGCAGATGGAAACTCTCTCTCTCTCTCTCTCTCTCTCCCTCTCTCTAACTCCATCTCTTTTTATTATTATTATTATTATTATTATTTGAAAGGTAGAGTTAGAGAGAGAGAGAGAGAGAGATCTTCCATCCTCTGGTTCACTCCCCAAATGGCCACAATGGCTGGAGCTGGGTGGGTGCAAAGCCATGAGCCAGGAGCCTCCCCGCCATCTATGTGGGCACAGGGACCCAAGTATCGGGGCCATCTTCTGCTGCTTTTCCCAGGCCATCATCAGGGAGCTGGATTGAAAGTGGAACAGCTGGGACTCGAACTGGTGCCCACATGGGATGCCGGTCCCTCAGGCAGCAGCATCCCCCGCCTTGCCACACTGTTAGTCCCCCATCTCTCTTTCAAACAAATAAAAATAGATAAATAAGAAAACTCAAAAGTTATAGTAAATAAAGTCTCTAGCAGAACACAACCAGTCTACATTCAAACTGAGCAGAAAAATCAAGAAAATGTTTGGATAATTCCATTTCAAGAATACTCTTTTCCATTAAATTTCTACTTAAATAAAAAGTGATTTTTTAAAACCAGGAATTCTCCAGATTACATATATTATATATGAGAGCATTTTGTGTGGTTGAAGGAAAACTAATGGACCCAAGTACTAGCCAATGACTGCTACTCCTGTCCTGCCATGGAATTCCCCACTGGAGGGAGAGTTTTTGTTTGTTACTAATGTTCTGTGTTTATTCTTTGATGCAAAAGCCTCTTTTCCTATGTGAACCCTCATGCAAACAGATGCAGAAAATGCTTACACATTAGTGCAATAATATCTTTCAGTGTTTCTCCATTACTGTGATCTCCACGGAATTATTCACTGAAAATGCAGATGCCTTTGAGTAGATATCATTGTCAGTATAAAAATACCAACACTGTAAAAAAGAAGGCTCAAATTTGACAGCTGGTATTAAGTGTACACAATGTTGGATGTCAATAAAATTAGTAATGGAACAGAACTTGAATTTATCTGAAACAAGAGAACAGTAAATGCTCCTGTGGCTTCTTTTTATTTAATGTTTACTTATTTGAAAGACAGCATGCAAGCACATGTGTCAGGGAGAGAGAGATAGAGGGAAAGAAGGAGGGGGAGAGAGAGAGAAAGAGAAAGAGAACTGATCTTCTATTTGCTTGTTCACTCCCCAAATGCCAGCAACAGCCAGTTCTGGGCCAGGCTGAAGCCAGGAGTCTGGAATTATTTCTGGATCTCCTACAGAGATGTCTGAGGCCCAGGTATTTGAGCCATCCTCTGGTGCCTTGCAAGACAAGCATTAGCAGGAAGCTGGATTGGAAGTGGAAAAGTGGAGTAACCGAGACACAGACCAGGCATTCCAACATGGGACGCAGGCATCCCAAATGGTGGCTCAACCCGCTATGCCACAACATCCACCCCATTCTATGGCTTCTTTTAAGGAGCTATTATTAAGAGCCAGCATTTAGCCCAGTGGTTAAGATGCTTAAGATGCCAGTGTCCCACACTGGAGTCCCTGGTTCAATTCCCAGCTCTGGCTCCTGATTGCACCTTCCTGCCAATGCACATCCTGAAAGCAGCAGTGATGGCTCAAGTAATTGGGTTCCTGCCACCCATGTGGAACCTGGATTGCATTTCCAGCTCCTTGCTCCAGCCTCAGCCCAGCCCCTGCCATTGAGGGCATTTAAGGAATGAACCAACATATGGGAGCACTCTCTCTCTCTCTCTCCCTGCCTCTCAAATCAAAAACTAAAATTTAAATAGAAAGAAGCCATTATCAGAGTTTTTATTTCAAGTCACATTGATTGAGACTACTGTTTCTTTTTTTTTTTTAACTTTTTTTTTTTTATTTGACAGATAGAGTTAGACAGTGAGAGAGAGAGAGAGACAGAGAGAAAGGTCTTCCTTCCGTTGGTTCACCCCCCCAAATGGCTGCTACCGCTGGAGCTACACCGATCTGAAGCCAGGAGCCAGGTGCTTCCTCCTGGTCTCCCACGTAGGTACAGGCGCCCAAGCACTTGGGCTATCCTCCACTGCCTTCCCGGGCCACAGCAGAGAGCTGGACTGGAAAAGGAGCAGCCGGGACTAGAACTTGGTGCCCATATGGGATGCCAGTGCCGCAGGCAGAGGATTAGCCAAGAGAGCCATGGGGTCCGCCCCTGCTCCTGTCTGTCTGTCTGTCTGTCTGTCTTTCTTAGATTTATTTATTTGAAAGTCAGAGTTACACAAAGAGAGAAGAGGCAGAGAGAGAGAGAGGTCTTCCATCTGCTGATTCACTCCCCCAATTGGCTGCAACAGCTGGAGCTGTGCCGATCCGAAGCCAGGAGTCAGGAGTTTCTTCCAGGACTTCCACCTGGGTGCAGGGATCCAAGGACTTGGGCCATCTTCTACTGCTTTCCTAAGCCATAGCAGAGAGCTGGATCAGAAGTGGAGCATCTGGGACTCAAACCGGCACCCATATGGGATGCCAGCACTGTAGGTGGTGGCTTTACCAAATTCGCCACAGCATCAGCAAGACTACTCCTTCTTTAAAATGTCTGAATGTCATAAGTTAGCAGGGACGCACTGTTTGCCTCACACTGACCCCTACTCAACATACACACCTAAGGCCACTGGCGGTGGCCCTCATGAGCTACTTCCCTAATTCCTGATATATTGATCATGAATTATAAGAAGGAGGCATTTATCCTACTGCATGGAAGCAGAAGCTTTATTCTTTGTCTTATCATTTTCCGCTGGTCCCTTGTAGACTCTGAGAACACGGATTGTGTCTTTTTGTTTGCAGGGTTACGGTGACCGCCATGTGCAACATGGACTTCAGCCGATTCCCTCTGGACACACAGACGTGCTCGCTTGAAATCGAGAGCTGTGAGTAGACTTGCACCCGGGTGGCTGCACGCGGCTCCTCTGTAATTCTAAACACCCCAAAGCTCAGTGGCAGGATGGGTACGCATGCCTCACTCATGACTGCACTTTTAAGGTGATTTTTTAGATTGACGATAGGTCCAGGGTAATTGTAAAACTCAGGAGCAAATCCGTAACTAAAACCTCGGTCCTCATAATCCATCTTTTTGATCCCCTGTGCAAGGGTTTTTATCTTTGTTCTGTGGAATCTGGATTTTCCCAGCATTCCCCGGGGCAACTGCTTGGGGAGGCAGAGGAGAGGGCCTTAGCCCTTTTAACAATGTAGGTTCCCTCCAAGTCCTTGGCCTGGCACATACACAGTCCCTTGTAGGGGCTCATTTTCAAATCTGTTTTCTTCTTAACTGATTAAATTGAAAAATATTATTTGGGGGCTGGCACTGTGGCATATGGGGTAAAGCTGCCGCCTGTGATGCTGGCATCCTGTATGCTGCTGGTTCAAATCCCAGCTACTCCACTTCCAGTCTAGCACCCTACTAATGCACATGGGAAAGCAGTGGAAGATGGCTCAAGTATTTGGGCCCCTGTCCTGAGGTGGGAGACCTGGATGAAGCTCCTAGCTCCTGGTTTCAGCCTGGCCCTGCCTGACCTTTGTGGCCATCAGGGGAGTGAACCAGTGGACAGAAGATCTCTCTCTCTCTTTCTCTTTTTCCCTTTCCCTCTCTGTAAATTCTGCCTTTCAAAAAAATAAATCTTTTAAGAAATTATTTGAAGAACAGACGCACACACACACATGATCTTCTATCTGCTGGCTTTCCCCCCAAATGCCTAAAACAGCTGGGGTTGGGCCAGGCTGAATCCAGGAGCCTAGAACTCAGGCCAGGTCTCCCACGTGGGTGACAGGGACCGCAGTACTTGAGCTGTCACCTGCTGCTTCCCAGAGTGTGCATTACCAGGAAGCTGGAATAGGAAGAAGAGCAAGGGCAAGGACTTGGACCTAGGCACGCCAGCATGGGATGTGAGCATCCCAAGTGGTGTCAGCTGCTGTGTCAAACATCCACTCCCTTTCACCTGTTTATTACTCTCATAAATGCAGTTTTCACTGAAGACAGGATTTTCTGGTAAAAATAAGTTTGGCAACAAACGCCCTAGAGAGCTGACACTGTGAATTTGGCGTGATGGTCGAGACTCTCAGGTGCAATTGAGAGTTCAAGTCCCAGCTGCTCCACTTCCAATCCAGACCCCTGCTAGTGGCCTGGAAAGGCAGTGGAAGATGGCCCAAGTGCTGGATTCCTACACCCACGTGGGAGACCTGGAGGAAGCTCCTGGCTCCTGGCTTCGGGACGGCCCAGCTCCAGCCATTGTGGTCATTTGGAGAGAGGGCCAGCAGATGGAAGCACTCTTTCTCCGTCTCTCCCTCTCTGCCTGTAGCTCTGCCTCTCAAATAAATAAAATAAATTTATTTTTTTTTTAAAAAGGCTAGGAACCTGAAACCCCATCCAAGTCTCCCATGTGGGCAAGCAGGGTTCCAAGGACTTGAGCTATCTGCTGCCTGTCACAGTGCATATTAGCAAGACACTGGATCAGAAGCAGAACAGCTGAGACTGGAACCCAGTCCCTCTCACATGGGATGGGGGCATCAAAAGTGGCAACTTAATTGCTGCACCACACAAAAGGGTTAGCCTTTTTTGCAAGAATTAATGAGCACTGAAGCTAGAGAGCTCTGCTCTGATAACTTTTGGAAGACCAGGGAGAATTAGATTCATCTTTGTGGATTTTGTTTAGACTGCAGTTTGTTTATTCCCACGCAAGCCCAGTAGTGTGCGTGGGAAATCAGGACACGTAGTTTTTCCTGACACAGACAGGCCTGTGCTTCCCCGACCCTGTGTCTGATGCCGGCTCCCATCTTTCAGATGCCTACACGGAAGACGACCTCATGCTGTACTGGAAGAAAGGCAACGACTCCTTAAAGACAGACGAGCGGATCTCGCTGTCCCAGTTCCTCATTCAGGAATTCCACACCACCACGAAGCTGGCCTTCTACAGCAGCACAGGTGAGCCTGTGGGCGGGGTTCAGCCTGGCCGTGGTGGCTCACCCTCCGTTTCAGAGAAGGCGTGACTTGGGTGGGTGGGGTTTTGGCTTGGCCATGGTGGTTCACCCTCTGCTTTAGAGAAGGTGTGACTTGGGTGAGCAGAGCTTGTGTCACTTGTATCTGGAATCCTAGGAGAAGTCAAGTAGATGGCAAACATGGGATGGCGATGCTCTTTTGACACCAGCAGTGCATCAGAAGTGGGAACCTGGAAAGTGTCACTAACGACTCAAACATAAGTCACACGAGTACTGTTATTTGACAGAACCGCAATGCCAGCCCCTAAGCTGGCATTTTGATCCTGATAGGGTCACCAGGAAACCCTCCTCTACAGCAAGAAACAAGCTCAAGTTCAGGCTGTTGTTTCCCATTCATGTTCTCCCTGCTCCAGCCAGCCCCTCGGGGGTGCCCCACTCTCCTCCAGTCCCCTCTTGCTACCCTGCCTGCATAATCCGTCGTTATGACCCTTTGCCAAGCCTCAGAGCAGGAGCCACAGGTTGTTCCCCTGGGGACATGGTTGCAACTTTTTGAACCAAGGTTCTGCCACCCCTGTTGCCTGGGGGCATGCTCCATGATGGCCTTCCTCCCGGCAGCCTCCTGTGTTACAGCCACAGTCAGCTTCCATCACCCCTTGCCTTGTCCAGCACTTCTGTATCCATCACCCACGAGTCTTGGTTCATTGGGAGACACAGTCCCTTCACAATCTTCTGCTGGCACTTAGAGACATGTCCCAGGATGCCAAATTTCTGACTTAGTGTGGCCAAGTTGACATTTTATGTTCAGCCCCAGGTTTCTCATGTTTTTCTTACCTTTTTCTTTTCTTTCCATCATCCTCCCTTTCCCTTCAATTCCTCCTGAATACTTGTTTTCCCTTGTAAAATCACAAGGGCAGAGCTAACCAGCATAGTTGGACCTACGATCAGTCATTCAGTTTCAAAACATAGTGTGGTGTTCAGCTTTATGTTCTTTTTTTTTATTTCTTTTTTTTATTTTTTATTTTTTTTTGACAGGCAGAGTGGATAGTGAGAGAGAGAGACAGGGAGAAAGGTCTTCCTTTGCCGTTGGTTCACCCTCCAATGGCCACCTCGGCCGGCGCGCTGCAGCCAGTGCACCGCGCTGATCCGATGGCAGGAGCCAGGTACTTATCCTGGTCTCCCATGGGGTGCAGGGCCCAAGCACTTGGGCCATCCTCCACTGCACTCCCTGGCCACAGCAGAGAGCTGGCCTGGAAGAGGGACAACCGGGACAGAATCCGGCGCCCTGACCGGGACTAGAACCCGGTGTGCCGGCGCCACAAGGTGGAGGATTAGCCTAGTGAGCCGCGGCGCTGGCCATTCAGCTTTATGTTCTAACTTAAAACACACTTCCTCTCATAGAGAAATCCAGAGCGGGGTTATTTAAGTCCAGTGTTGGCATGCATTCAGATCCCGTGGGGAATATTGTTAAATGGGGGTTCTGATTGAGCAGGTCTGTGACCTGCTGTGACCCGAGCATCTGCATTTCCAAGTAGTTCCCGGGCGGTGGGGAGGCTGCTGGTCTCTAGACTTTGTTTGGAGTCCCGGGGCATACATGATGTTCTCAGAGGGTTCCTCTGTGTAAGACAGGGGCCAACGATTCTTTGAGCTGGGTTCCCCGAGGTGGTGTGGGTTATTGTCCCATTGTTTTTATCACTTCCACCTTACACGGGTAGGTAATGTTCCAGTGGAGTGTCTAGGGCATTTATGAACCCCTGAGTCAATCTGCTTTATGAGGGAGCTGCGTAGCTATGGCGATGTGTGCTATCTTTTCCTCCTGTGTCCCCCAGGCTGGTACAACCGTCTGTACATCAACTTCACCTTGCGGCGCCACATCTTCTTCTTCTTGCTCCAAACCTATTTCCCGGCCACCCTGATGGTCATGCTGTCCTGGGTATCTTTCTGGATTGACCGCAGAGCTGTGCCTGCCAGAGTTCCCTTGGGTAAGGAACATCTCAAGTGCACCTTGCAAGTATCTGCAAAAACAAGGACTATGCCTTGCAAACTAGTCCTATGCCACTTTTGGCATAACTTAGAAAAACTTATTTATTCATAGGTAGAGTCCCATAATTAAGAATCTAAAGGATCAACATTATGGCATGGTGGGTTAAACTGCCATAACTGCAGTCCCAGCTGTTCCACTTCTGATCCAGTTCCCTGCTAATGCAGCCTAGGAACACAGTAGAAGATGGCCCAAGTGCTAGGGCCCCCATACTCATGTGAGAGACCCAAATGGAATTCCAGGCTCTTGGCTTAGGCCTCACCCATCCCTGGCAATTTGGGGAGTGAACCAGAATATGGAAGATTGAAAGTTCTCATTCTCTCTCTCTCTCTCTCTCTCTCTGTCTCTCTGTAACTCTGCCTTCCAAATAAACACTTTTTTAAAAAACAGAAAAGGATCTGTGTAGCAGAAGTGTCCCGAGGTACCCACAGGTGCCTGTTCCCACCGTGCACCTTTAGTGTTGTTGGATCCCTGTTCTTGGGTGGCTGCCATGGTCTCCAGGGGCTTTCTGTACTCCCCTGCATGGTGAATTGCATGTTATAGCAGGATTTCTCAGAAGGGGCCTAAGGCATCTTCATGATAGAGCCTCCGAGGGAAATTATAAAAACAGAAGAGTCTTGGGTTTCATATACAATTATAAAATCGGACTATGAAGCCGTACTTTTATTAAACTCTCCCAGTAATTGCATCCATACTCAAGTCTGAGACTCGCTCATCTATAAGCATGCATTTATGGCTATTCCTATCAACTCTCTTTCTCATGTAAGCATTGTACTCACCTCATCAAATACCCCACCCTTGCTCCTACTATTCAGTGGACTGTAACGGAGAGTGACCTGCCAGGCTTTAGTGAAATTGGGTTGGAGCTGGCCCTTAGCATGACCCCAATCCCCTGCGATCTGATGTTTGCCAAGCAAATGTTCTGAGCTTAATTTGAAATCCGGGCACACTTCCATGGACAGATGCCCTGTCCTCTTACAGTTATTTTGTAGCATGAACAGTTTCTGTGCTAAATAGATATACATTGTGGGTTTTTTGTTTTTTTTTTTTTTTTTTTTTTTGACAGGCAGAGTGGATAGTGAGAGAGAGAGAGAGACAGAGAGAAAGGTCTTCCTTTGCCGTTGGTTCACCCTCCAATGGCCGCCGCGGCCGGCGCACTGCGGCCGGCGCACCGCGCTGATCCGATGGCAGGAGCCAGGAGCCAGGTGCTTTTCCTGGTCTCCCATGGGGTGCAGGGCCCAAGCACCTGGGCCATCCTCCACTGCACTCCCTGGCCACAGCAGAGGGCTGGCCTGGAAGAGGGGCAACCGGGACAGAATCCGGCGCCCCGACCGGGACTAGAACCCGGTGTGCCGGCGCCGCTAGGCGGAGGATTAGCCTAGTGAGCCGCGGCGCCGGCCATACATTGTGGTTTTAAGTCTCCTGCAAGTGAAGTTAGCAGCACCATCCTTGGTGAAACTGACCTCTGGGTCCTCAAGTGCAACACTGCTGAATGGGCAGCCGGGTCCGGTGGAAGGGTGGCTGCAGCACATGCCTGGCCAGCTGATGATACAGGCCCAGGATTACAGAACCCGACAGCAGCAAAAAAGGGCACAGATATTGAAATAAACTGTGTGCACTCATTTCCCTTTTTTTTAAAAAAATTATTTATTTATTACTTGAAAAGCAGAGTTACAGAGAGGCAGAGACAGAGACAGAGAGAGAGAGGTCTTCCATCTGCTGGCTCACTCCCCAAATAGCCGCAGCAGCTGGAGCTGAGCTGATCCGAAGGCAGGAGCCAGGAGCTTCTTCCAGGTCTCCCGTGCAGGTGCAGGGGCCCAAGCACTTGGGCGGCCATAGCAGAAAACTGGGTTGGAAGTGGAGCAGCAGGGGCTCGAGCCGGCACCATATGGGATGCCGGCACTGCAGGCAGTGGTTTTACCCACTACGCCATAGTGTCAGCCCCTCATTTCCTTTGGATGGGGCAGTATTTATGAGAAACATACCTGTTTATACTCATATGCACATTTTCCTCTCTTTTTATAAAAGATTTATTTATTTGAAAGAGTGACAGTGGGAGGGAGGGAAGGAGAGAAAGAGGAGAAAATTCTTCCATCTGCTGGTTCACTCCCCAATTATCTGCAGTAGCTGGAGCTGGGCCAGGCTGAAGCCAAGGAGCCAGGAATTCCATCTGGTTCTCCTATAGGGGTGGCAGGAACCCAAGTACATAAGCCATCACCTACTGCTTCCCAGGCCCATTAACAAGGAGTTGGATAGGAAGCAGAGTAGCTAAGACTTGGACCAGGACTCTGATACAGGATGTGGACACCACAAGTAGTGGCTTAACTCACTGTGTCAGAACTCCCATGCCATCAGTTTCCCTATTTGAAAATATTTGAGGTGTAGGCATCTGGCCTAGTGGTTAAGACACCACTTGAGATTGCCCGTATTGCCTGTCAGAGGGCCTGGGTTCGAGTCCTCCTTATCTGATCCAGCTTCCTGCTAATGTGCACCTTGGGAGGCAGCAGATGATGGCTCAAGCACTTGGGGCCCTACTACCCATGTGGGAGACCTGAACTGAATTCCTGATTCCCCTCCTTGGCCTCATCCAATCTCAACTGTTGTGGGCATTTGAGGGAGTGAATCAGCAGATGGGCGATCCCTGATCTCTCTCTCTCTCTCTCTCTCTCTCTCTCTCTCTGCCTTTCAAAAAAAAAAAGTGAATCTTAATAAATAAATAAACACTTGAATTGAAATAAATGTCTTCATGCCAAATCTCTGGGTTTTATGCAAAAGCATAGAATGGCCGGCACTGAGGCTCACTAGGCTAATCCTCTGCCTGCGGCGCCGGCACACCGGGTTCTAGTCTCGGTCGGGGCGCTGGATTCTGTCCCGGTTGCCCCTCTTCCAGGCCAGCTCTCTGCTGTGGCCAGGGAGTGCAGTGGAGGATGGCCCAGGTGCTTGGGCCCTGCACCCCATGGGAGACCAGGAGAAGCACCTGGCTCCTGGCTTCGGATCGCACAGTGCGCCGGCCGTGGTGGCCATTGGAGGGTGAACCAACCGCAAAGGGAGACCTTTCTCTCTGTCTCTCTCACTGTCCACTCTGCCTGTCAAAACAAACAAACAAACAAACAAACAAACAAACAAAAAGCATAGAGTGATAGATGCTGCTGTGAGTGATAGATGCTGTGAGAGGTACACATGATATACAGTGAGGGAAGGGGAGAGAGGGACAGGAAAAGCTTCAGAACAGCTCAATCCCGAAGAATGCATTGACAGCTGCTCAGGACTGCAGCCATTCTAGGCTGAGGGCACAGTCAGGACAGAGAAGCCAGGACACTGAGCCCTGCGGTGTTTGGGGAAAGACCGGAAAATGCTTATTCCTCACCCGCGTTGGTTGCAGGCATCACGACGGTGCTGACCATGTCCACCATCATCACGGGCGTGAATGCCTCCATGCCGCGCGTGTCCTACATCAAGGCCGTGGACATCTACCTCTGGGTCAGCTTCGTGTTTGTGTTCCTCTCGGTGCTGGAGTACGCGGCCGTCAACTACCTGACCACGGTGCAGGAGCGGAAGGAGCGGAAGCTACGGGAGAAGGTGACTCTACCACGTGCTGGGGGGCGGGGCGAGCCCAGAGACCTGGGCGGGTCAGCCCTGGTCAGTGCTCTGCTACTTTACAGGGTTGGGGTGAAAGGCAAACAAAACAATATAGGCCCAGACAGTGTGACATCCGCCCTGGACTACATCTTTCTATCCTTGCCACACTTTTGGGCAGCTAACCATACACCAGGAGCTGCCAAGCCAACTTAACCAAAGCATGCGCCCTTAAATCATGGTCATGTCCTAGGAGAAGGATAAATGACAGTCCAAGCTGGTGGAGGAAATTGTTTATGAACCTGGAGGCATAATAAAGACGCCTTCTGGGGAGAACTCCCTCATTCTAGGGACGTTCTCGGCCATTTTGCAGCCCCCATCATTTCTGGGTTATCTGTCTTCCCGCCAGGCTTTCTTTTCTTCCTCCAGACTGCAGCCCGGTGGTTATCACCTCCGGAAAACTCCAACCTTACAGTTGGAATTATTCCCACAATGCCACAGCTTTCCAATTCCTACCTCCATCTCATACCCACTTGTGATAATGTGATCTATAAACATCTATTCTAAGGGCACTTATCACTTTATGGTCTCATGAAAAACAGATAGTTAATGCAATCACTAGGGGCTGGCAATGTGGTGCGGCAGGGTAAGCTGCCCCCTGTGACTGGCATCCCATATGAGCACTGGTTTGAGTCCTGGCTCCTCCACTTGCATCCAGCTCCCTGCTAATGTAATTATGAACAATCTGGTTGGTCTCTGGTATGACACTGTGATGTTTCCTGAGAGTCCACCTGCAGACTTTATTTCAACAAAAACAGGTATGTGCAATTTTAGAATGTTTACGGTACACCGCCATCATTTTCCTACCTTCCTACCCAAACTGGGAACAAAAGGACCTCGGAGAAGGCAACACCCTCTCACCCAGACTTCCAAGAGCCGCTGCTGAGCTTGCCCCCCTTGTGTGTGTTTGCTGTGTTCGCAGCTCCCTTGCACCTGTGGGCTCCCTCAGCCCCGGGCTGTGATGCTGGATGGCAGCTACAGCGATGTTGAAGTGAACGACCTGAGCAGCTTCGTGCCAGACAATGGAGAGAAGCCGGACAGGATGATGGTGCAGCTGACCCTGGCCTCAGAGAGGAGCTCTCCGCAGAGGAAAAGCCAGAGAAGCAGCTACGTGAGCATGAGGATCGACACCCACGCCATTGATAAATACTCCAGGATCATTTTCCCGGCTGCATACATTCTATTCAATTTAATATACTGGTCTATTTTCTCATAGATGCCTGTGATTCTGTACGTTTCCTGTTCTCCATGGTATGCACTACGAAACACTTGTGTTATGAAAAAGAATTGCAGGCTATGGTAAACAAGTTCTCAGTAACACCCATCATTTCACTGTCCCTTCTCCAGCTTTCCAAAGCTATGCTGATAAGACACTTACTGGTTTAATTTGTACTTATTAGGCATCTACTGTATACACCTAATTCTACTAGGTGCTGCAGGAATATGAGACTGTAGCAGTCATGTTAGTTGTTACCCAGATCCACTGGAAAACCACACTACCGGTGTTGAGGACACTGTAGTCCAACCTCTTGTAGACCCTCGCTGCTTGTCCATATGAACAATTCCTTGACGGGAGTGCATGTCTTTCGGACTAGGTGGGATTGGGGGAGCACTTGAAGTTCATGTCTATGGAACCCACATGCACCTTAATCCCCTCTGACAGAAACTCATGCTCCAGTTCATAGCCTCTTACCTATTTTTTTTATGCAACCCCTGGTGTTGAACAAAAGGCAGTAATAATACTCACATTATTTTTACTTACGTTAATGCAGTTCACAAGGTTTCCACCTCTTCTCAAGGAAAACTCTAGATTGGTGCGATTGCTCCTGACTTTGGTGGAAATTTCTCTTGTAGAGAAACTGAAGACGAGGGTACATGAATGCATTTCGTTGGTTCTGTCATAGAGACACTAGGCTAGAAAACTTGTGCTTCGGTGTCCCCTGTTTGGTAATCACCGCTTCATGAGCCTCTAGGTGTCCTCACTCAAAGTCAAGTCCTTTCTTAGCAATGTGATTTCCCCCCGAAGGAAATTGGGAAGAGACTAATTTCTCTTGTAGGAACATTTTTTTAATGCATAACTTATTAAAATGAGAAATTCATGGTTTCTCAAGAGAGAAAGAACACCAAAAAGCAAACGAACCAAGAAGGCATCCCTGGATGGCTGCTTTTGTACTCAGTGAATACCAGTGTTTTCTTTGAATCAGGAGATGGCTGTCATATAGAGCCGGGCTGAAGGATGGGCACTGGAGCTGATGTCAGGTCATGGGGTAAAGGAGAGGCTTCTGATTTGGTGTATCATTTACAAACAGTTATTTATATCATATACACTTTATAGGTCAACCCCCACCAAACTTACCCAAACAGCACTGTCTGATTTTCAACTCACTTTAATAAAGTGAATGCTATGCATCATAATGTTGTTTTCATTTCAATGTTAACTTCATGTGTCATCAATAGCAAATAATATCATTGTATTTTTTCATACATAGGGGTATACTTTATTCTAATTTGAAAAATGAATTTTTTTTTCCTTTGGGGCCGGCACTGTGGCACAGTGGGTTAACGCCCTGGTCTGAAGCACTGGCATTCCATATGGGCGCCAGTTCGAGACCCAGCTGCTCCACTTCCTGTCCAGCTCACTGCTATGGCCTTGGAAAGTAGTAGAAGATGGCCCAAGTCCTTGGGCACTTGCACTCATGTGGGAGACCTGGAGGAGGCTCCTGGCTCCTGGCTTCGGATTGGTGTAGCCCCGGCCATTGCGGCCATTTGGGGAAGTCAACCAGCGGATGAAGACCTCTCTCTCTCTCTCTCTCTCTCTCTCTCTCTCTCTCTCTTCTCTCTCTGTGTAACTCTGACTTTCAAATAAATGAATAAATCTTAAAAAAAAAAAAAAGTAACATGATGTTAAAAAAAAAAAAAAGAAAGAAAGAAAGAAAAAGGCGGCTATGGGGCCGGCACTGTGGCATAGTAGGCTAAGCCTCCACCTGTGACGCCAGCATCCTATATGGGCACTGGTTTGAGTCCCAGCTGCTCCGCTTCCAATCCAGGTCTCTGCTAGTGGCCTGGGAAAGTTGACTCAAGTGCTTGGGCCCCTTCACCCACATGGAAGACCCAGATGCAGTCCCCTGGCTTTGGCCTGGACCAGCCCCAGCCTTTATGGCCATCTGAGGAGTGAACCAGTGAATTAATGCTCTCTCACTTTGTCTTTCAAATAAAAAAATAAATCCTTAGAAACAGATTATCCTTTTCTGCTCATCACGACATTCAGCTCCAGGCTGGCTGGCTGAAAATTTCCAGGACTTCTCATCTAAACAGCCCATCTATTCAAGTGTCTTCCTCTTTTTCAGTTTGGTTAGGCCTTCCAGAGAGCTCAAAAAGGGAATGCTGCTCCTTCTGCCAACTTGGAAGGAATCGGTGCCCAAAGCCAGTGTAAGATCTTTCTCCTGCTAGTCTGTCTGCAAATATGCCCAGAACTAGAAGAATCCTTTGGACTTTATGAAAATAAAAGTTCACTTTTCATGCCACTTCGTATGTGCACATAGAATATCAGTGTCTGGGTTTGAGTCTCAGCTGTACATCCAATTCCAGCTTCCTTCTCATGCACACTTGGAAGTAGGTGATGGCTCAGGTTGGGTCCCTGCCACCAACATGGGAGACTGGATTGAGTACTGGGCTCCTGGAGTTAGCCTGGCCCAGCTTCGGTTGTTGTGGAAATTTGGGGAATAAACCAGCAGATGGAAGATCTGTCTCTTTCCGATAAATAAAAATTTTAAAATATTTAGCAACTGGTTCAACGTGAAGGACATGCATTTGGAATATGGAGAAAATATATTTCTTTGGCAATGCGGATGGATAGGTCAAGCCATACTAAAGGTAATAAATATGGTTGCAACATAATGAGCTGAGGACTGAAAAAAAAGTTGTCAAATGACCTGTCTTAGGACAAGAAATGTCTGTGTTATGAATCAATTTCCAAGATTTTGTAATTTTTATTTATTATTTTCTTTTTTTGTTCAACCTTGGATCCATGGAACAGTAGCAAGCATATTTTGGATGGAACTTAGAAGTGGCAGAGGGTAGTCAGAGTAGCAGCAACATCAGATGTTGGGCGGACATGGGTTCAACTCCACTTGGAGAAAATACCCAACACTGAAACTCTAAGCAAATCACGCTTGCAATCTCTGTCTGCCAGGAACTGCTTCTTAACACACAACACATGGGATGGATGGGCAGAGGCTAAAAGCCACTATGGAAATATCCTAAACAGCTGCCGAGACAGCTGCTCCCAGGCCCCAGAAGAAACCTTTTTATTTATTTATTTATTTGACAGGCAGAGTGGACAGTGAGAGAGAGAGACAGAGAGAAAGGTCTTTCTTTGCCATTGGTTCACCCTCCAATGGCCGCCGCGGCCAGCACACCGCACTGATCCAATGGCAGGAGCCAGGTACTTCTCCTGGTCTCCCATGGGGTGCAGGGCCCAAGTACTCGGGCCATCCTCCACTGCCTTCCCGGGCCACAGCAGAGAGCTGGCCTGGAAGAGGGGCAACTGGGACAGAATCCGGCGCCCCGACCGGGACTAGAACCTGGTGTGCCGGCACCGCAAGGTGGAGGATTAGCCTAGTGAGCCGCGGCGCCGGCCCAGAAGAAACCTTAAGGCTGAACAGTAACACAACACCTCAGAGATGAATGGGGCTTGGGTACTATTTTATAGCTTTAGATTTCAACTGCATCTATGTCACTTCTTCAACAGCTGCATCCTATCCCTCTCAAGTAAGGAGCCAACAAACTCACTCTATTTATAGTTAAGGGCTTCTTAGGTTCCCGTCAAACTCTTTTTAAAGTTTTGGTACAGTAACACAAGATTCTTCGAGGAACATGTCAGATGACACGCCATGAGGCTATTATTAATTCTGAATCCCTATCATTTACAGGCAGCAACAACACATGGATTTCAAAGCTTAGGTATACCTGGAGTAAATTAAACCCAAGTGGAAAAGATGAAAGTTTTCTTTAACTGCTTTCCTTCTCTGAGCTAAATAAAAGTACTGTGTCAGTGATTGCTAACACCACATACACCTTCCAGCTCTCAGGTTGGGATTTATTTAGCCTAATATTTAAGATACCCGCACGCCACACTAGAGTAGCTGGGTTAGAGATACGTGGCTGCAGCTTCCTGCTAATGCAGACGCTAGTGATAGTTCAAGGAACTGAATTATTGCCACCCCCACTGGTTCAGCCCCAACCCTTGTGGATATTTGGGGAGTGAGTGAATCAGCAGATGGGAGTTCTTCATCGTCTCTCAAATAAGTAAATAAAAAAAAATTCAGGTGTTGACAATGTCTACTTAATCATTGACCTAAACAAGAATCTTGTCTGATGTTATTTTCTATTTTAAATTTCTGAGGTTTATTTTTTAGGTGATTGGATGCTTTGACCCACTAAGCTAACCAAAGCTCATCTTACATCTTAAGGGAAAAAAAACAGAGGTTTGTACTCTATGTAGAAAGCCAGTTTAAACAAAGAAACATAGACACTAATTGTTTAGCTATTGATGAAAATCTAAAACCTGGGGCTGGCGCTGTGGCATATTGGATTAAACTGCTGCCTACAGCACTGGCATCCCATATGGGCACCAGTTTGAGTCCTGGCTGCTCCACTTCCCATCCATCTCCCTGCAAATGCTCCTGAGAAAGCTGTGGAAGATGACCCAAGTGCTTGGGCCCCTGCACCCATGTGGGAGACTTGGATAGAGTCCCTGGCTCCTGGCTTCAGTCTGGCCCAGCCCAGGCTGTTGCAGCCATTTGGAGAGTGAACCAGCAGACAGAAGATCTCTCTCTGTAACTCTGCCTTTTAAATAAAATAAATCTTTTTTTAAAAAAACAAAAGCCTATTTTATCACTTTCACATTATTACATGGAATTACTTTGTATTCAAGTTGGAAATTCAATACTAGAATAAGGGACCTAACTCCTACCATGTATGATTTTCATTGCTATTTTCCAGCTTCTGAGACTAGTAAAACAGTCACTTTTTAAACAGAATGATATAAAAATTTTTAAATTCACATTATATTAATAACATGACATATACGTAGTTGAAAATAAAACCAACATATACAATACTGATGAATTTCTAGAACATACAGTATATCATAGTGTTGAGCACATTATGTTCTACCTACTTATATATGTTTTTCATTATATCTCCATATATGTGTCATAAGAAAAATAAGACAAGTGTTGTTAGATAACCTTTATTAGAATTTGAGTTTTTTCATACACTGTAAAATGTATCTATTAAAATATAGTCTGATGCTGGTAGAGACTGCTTACCAATATTAACTTCACAGACATCAAAATGTAGCATCCTCAAGTATATAACTGGACTACACAGTGCTGCTGAAGTTATAGGAAAAAAAAATAAGGCTGTGTATCGTACCTTACAGTCTTATAGCGTTAAGATCATTTATCTTACAACAAAAATTCACTTTGAGAGTTTGGAGGCCAGTACTATGTAGGATATTTTCCAAAAGACTAAAGAAGCACTTCAGGTAAAAAGTTGGAAATGTATAAAACACAAGCTGATTGTCAGAAAGGTTTTTTCAAAAAGAACATATTATAAAATTAGATAATCATTCTTTAAGACTTTTACATCATTTTTTTTATCCACACAGATTGCAGTGATTCAGGTATTTTTAAATATTTTAGAAAAACTTCCAAGACAGTAGCTTTCAGATGTTCCCTCAATCCTAGTGTTGCACAAATAAAATAATTATCCGAGAACTTGACCACCACCAACAGGCTTTTGGGAGCATGGACCATGTCTTACTCTTCTTTTTACAACCACTGCTTACCAAAAGGGACCCCTCAACAAATGTTCATTTGAACTCAAATGCTGGAACTGTAACAGCTAAAATGTCCACATAACTATCAACAACAAATAAGAGTCCTTTGGGGGATTGTGAGTAATCAAAACACACAAGGTTATACAAGTATTCATAAACACATATGTTTCAGTTTACACTGGATACCCTCGCTCTTACAAGCAATATGAAGAGACTTAAAAGGGAAACATTTCCTAAGTGATTCACATAATATAGGGAATTTGTTAAAACTAAAGGGCAGTCCAAAACTCTGAAAAGGCAAGTTATACACCAGGCAAACTCAATCCTGCGTGGTATGTAACAATTTAGGAATTGATTGTACAGCTTGAGTATCTCTAATCAGAACACCTGAAATGCTTAAAACTCTGAAACTCTTTGAGTGCCAGCAGGATACCCCAAGTAGAAAATCCACACCTGACCTCATGTGGCCTGGTACCGTCAAAATGCACGTGTAGTGGGGCAAGCATTCGGCACAGTGGTTAAGACGCTGCTTGGATGCCTACATTCCAGATGGAAGTGCCAAGTCTGAGTGGCTCCTCTGCCTCTGACCCAGCCTCCTGGAAACGCACGCCCTGGGGGGCAGCAGGTCACGGCTCCAGCGCTTGAGTCCCTGTCCTACGTGGGTGACCCTGAGCTCTGGCTCTTGGCCTCGGCCTGGTCTAACCTGGCTATGGCAGGCATTTAGGGAATAAATCAGCAAATGGATCTCTTTCAGAAAAAATGAAAACAAACATGCAAAACAAAGTGAAACAAAACAAATCAATATACATACTAAAAATTTTGTATACAACTATCTTTAGGTTATATAACATTCATTATATAACATAAATGAATTTCGTGTTTATAAACATTTGGGTTACACCCCCAATGTATCTCATTATGCATATGCAAATATTCTAAAGTCAAAAACTGAAAGACATCTGGTCCCAAGCATTTTGGATAAGAAATACTCAACCCAGGGCCAATGGGGTAGCTTAGGGGTTACGCCACCACTTGCGACGCCGATATCCCATTTCAGAGTGCTGGTTCCAATTCCAGCGCCTGGGAAAACAGCAGAAGATGGTGCAAGTGCTTGGGCCCCTACTACCATATGAGAGACCTGGATGGAGTTCCTGGTTCCTGGTTTCAGCCTGGCCCAGCCCTGGCCATTGCAGCCATTTGGGGAGTGAACAAGCATAATAGAAGATCAATTTCTTTCTTTCTTTCTCTCTCTCTTTCTCTGTCACTTGCCTTTCAAATAATTTTTAAAAATTTTTTTAGAGATTTATTTTTCATTTGAAAGGCAGAGTTATAGACAAAGAAGGAGAAGGAGAAGGAGAGAGATCTTTCATCTGCTGGTTCATTCCCCAAATGGCTGCAACAGCTAGGTCTAGGCTAGGCTGAAGCCAGGAACTCCATCCAGGTCCTCTCCATGTGTGACAGGGGCCCGACTACTTGCGCCACTTACTGTTGCTTTCTCAGGCATATCAGCCAAGAGCTAGATTGGAAGTGGGGCAGCTGGGACTTGAACTGCTATTAATATGGGATGCTGGAGTCACAGGGGCAGCTCAACCAGCTGTGCCCCAATGCCATTCTTTAAAAAATGAAAAAAAAAAAACAGAAAGAAAAAGAAATATTCAACTTGAAACAAAAAATACTTAACCCATGCCACATAATTGATTGCTTTATAGAGGTCCCATATACAGGTCTGCTTCCTTTTTATTTTTTATTTATTTATTTTTATTTGAAAGGCAGAGTTACGAAGAGGCAGAGGCAGAGAGAGTCTTCCATCCACTGGTTCACTCCATAGATGGCTGCAACAGTCGGAGCTGCATCAATCTGAAGCCAGGAGCCAGGAGCTTCTTCCGGGTCTCCCATGTGGGTGCAGGGGCCCAAGCTGGGACTCAAACTGGCACCCACATGGGACACCAGTATGGCAGATGGCGGCTTTACCTGCTACATCACAGCATGGGCCTCTTTGCTTCCCTTTTAAAAAAATTGACAGGCAGACACAGAGAGAGACCAAAACAGCTCCCATCTGTGGTTTTACTCCCAAAAACCCCAGAGTGGCCAGGGCTGGGACAGACTGGACTGAAGTGAGCAGCTCAGAGCCGGGAACTTAATCTAGGTCTTCACGTGTTGCCTCCCAGCGTCTGCAGCAGCAGGAAGCTGAAGCCAGGAGGGGCACTTGGTATCAAACTCAGACACCGCTTTGTTAGACACAGGCGTCTTCATCAGTGTGTCACCCATCAAGCTAAATGCTTGCCTCCTACTTTCAAAATCAGGTCACTCAAGAGAAAAATAATGTTCCATTTGGTATTATGTTTCAATCATTCATTTAGACTATACCTCTTAAAGTCTATTGATGTCTGAGGAAAAGGCTTTTGGTACAAGGTGTGGTCAAGGCATTTAATAAAATGCTTTCCAGAAGAACAGGGCCACCTCAAGTAACCCCGCCAGAACCTCTAGTTTAGGTCAGAAACTGTAACTAGGATTCAAGAGCTGTATCATTGTAAACTTTGCACTAAGTCAGCCTAGCCCGCTTCTATTCTCCAAGTTGTAGAGACGGCTACAACCACACAATTAAACTCATCCAAGCACCACCATCTGTTCCCAGAGCTATTTCAAACTCGGAGGATTCCAAACAAGGCAGCAGGAGGACATGCTCAAAAAGCACTAAATACTTACAAGTAAGCTACTATGCTAGATATTGCAAGAGACGAAAAATACACACATACATACATATTTTAAAAAGGCACTGGCTTTAAATATACCACCTAGTGGGGGGGGTGGTAATGTGAGGGTGCTTCACAAAGCTCCTGCAGAAATGGAAATTAAAAGATAATGTGCACTGTCCATGAACTTTTTGAAGATTCCTTGTGTAATCACCAAACTTGTTAAGTGACAATAAAATGTCCCCATCTGAACTAATTCTGGGAGAAAAATTTGTCTCCTTCAAAAACAATACACAAAGTTCTAAATTTCAAAAAACCCTGTTCATTTCTCAGTCTCCTAAAGATCAGCATTCATCATTCAAGAATCAGAGCTAAATGGAACCTGTCCCCACCTAAAAGTCATCCTGTTCACCTACGGGCGAGCGTTTCTCTTCCAGAATCTCCAGCACTGTATCCAAATCCTGAAGACCAACCAACGAGGGGAACTCGCCCGCCCGGAGTGCACATGTTTATGACAACTCAGTAGTCACTTAGGAGAGTGAACAAAGAACTTCATTCTCAAAGGCAAAATTACCATTACAAAAGCAGCCCTCTCCGAAACTCAAAGGTTGCTTCCTCTGAACTTCAGAATAAACTCCAGTGTTTATGGACTTATTCATCCTTTTTACAGTTCAATTAAAGCAAGAAAGAGCCTCTAAAAACCTCTACTATATTAAATAACTGTTAAAATAAATGTAAAATAGCAGAGTAAGTTCTCCTCCTGATAGATCTATCAAGAGAAGACTCAAGATCATCAGTTCTCAATCTTTGTCCTCGACATGATAAACCTGACCACATCCCAATGTGTAAAGCCATACTCGGACTAAATTTTTTAAAAATGGAAAGAGAAATATCATAGAAGCTCAAGTGACCCGAATCCTAGTGGCAGGTGGGGACGGGTTTCTCACTCTGGGTTACAGCAGGGAGCAATCGTGCAGACTTTACCTCACTCCCAGCTGCAATTTCACATCTTGTTCCTCCATGCAAGAATGTTCAACAGAGGGCCAGTGAACCGGTAACAGAATATGTCAACCTTGAACTTTCTCTAGTTAGTCGTCAACAATAAATAATACACACACAGAACACAAACACTTTTTATGAGCGATGTAACTTGTGACACTTCACAAAGCACAGGCTGTATCCGTGTGTTGGAAAGTTCAGTTATCATTGTTCTAGAATTTTACCAAGGCTGCAGAAAATAAAATTGCACTCCTTAAGAGTCTGTATAAGGAATTTGTATTTGAGAAATTTATACAGTTGGCAGTTAGGAAACTCATTCCACTTAACTAAATGAGAAGTTTCAGACCTAATTCTTAGCCTGAAGCTTTTCCTGATGCCTTTGTCCCCTTCTGAAGGAAACAGACACCAACCCTGACTAACGCAGAGTATAAATAATCGGAGGAGGGTGACATGGAGTGCCAAGTGCCAGACACCGATATGAACCATCAGAAGCCCGGCTTGCAAAGAGCAAAGGCTAAAGGCACTCGGGTAGCCGTCTGCTTGGGTGAGGTCAGTGCTAAAAGGAACACATTTCTAAGCACCAGAAAGTCCAGGAAGGACAAAAAGGCTCAGGCGCCATCAGCTCAAAGTCAACCGGTCAGGGCACAGTGGCCTAAATCCCTTTCTCAGCGCTTTCCATTCAGAGGCCTGAAGTTTTATCCTAGGAAAACTGATGATAGGTTGCAAGTCAGAGAATCAGGTTTTGTTTTGTTACACAGAATAGGAGCCAGCAAAGTTTTTGATACAGAGCCAGCCAGTACACTATTTTAGGTTATGCTAGTCATAGCACCCGATCGCTGTGCCTTCAAAACAACACTGCAGGTAGGTGTTGTGCCATACTAACCACATTCCACGTCTGAGTGCCTGGAATCAAGTCCGGCCTTAGCTTCCTGCTCATGTCCCTGGGAAGCAGCAGATCTGGCCCAAGTGCTTGGGCCCCTGCCACCCCAATGGGAGACCCGAATGGAGTTCCCAGCTCCAGGCTTCAGCATGGCCCAGCCCTGCTGTTGTGGGCATTTGGGGAATGAACTAGCAGACAGAAGATTTTTGATCTCTCTCTCTGCCTTTCAAATAGACCTGTTTTAAAAATGTAAAAACGTTGGGGCGCCGGATTCTGTCCCGGTTGCCCCTCTTCCAGGCCAGCTCTCTGCTGTGGCCAGGGAGTGCAGTGGAGGATGGCCCAGGTGCTTGGGCCCTGCACCCCATGGGAGACCAGGAAAAGCACCTGGCTCCTGGTTCCTGCCATCGGATCAGCGCGGTGCGCCGGCCGCGGCGGCCATTGGAGGGTGAACCAACGGCAAAGGAAGACCTTTTTCTCTGTCTCTCTCTCTCACTGTCCACTCTGCCTGTCAAAAAAAAAAAAAAAAAAAAATGTAAAAACGACTCATTCTCAGCAAGCTGGCTGTATTTTAAAAGGCAAGCTGCTCGGCAAAACATTTCAGAGGACTGAAGGGATAAAGGGATAAGTGATTGAATCTTATTCTCCAAACAGCCAGCTGGACACTCAGAGGGCCCGAAGGACTTGCTCCTGTTCCTCTCCTACCCTCTCCATTCCTGGAAGTCCTACTCTCCCATTTCCGAATTCCCCCTAAAATAAAACTGTAATAGTCACAGCTCAAAACACAGAGCTTTACTATATTCACAGCTGAAAACATTGGTTTTACCAGTACTTCTCACACTCTTACCATCTCGAAGAAATTCACATGAAATTAAGAATCAGGAAAAATGCATCATTTTAAATTAATACTGGGCTAGCAAGAGGCTTAAGGAGGCTCACATTCTGTCTTCCAAACTCAGCCAATCACAGCATGATCCAGCCAGGCTGGGCAGTCTGGCTTCCCAGCAGAAGACTCCAGAAAGCTGCAAGGCAGGGAAAACCAGTTGTGTGATGTTAAAGATTCAAAACAGCAGAGCTCAAAGCACAGCCAGTGCTTCTCTCTCTCTCTCACCCTCCCAGGACATCCTGGGTTACAATGCAAATAGCTCAGAGGGAGACGCCGATCCTGCCAGTCTATAATTTTTCCCATGACCTAATTCAAGAATTCCTTGAACACATCTCAGAGCTCATGACAGTGGTCCTCCCTCATCCACAGGAGACACAGTCCAACACTGACCACTCGATGCCCGAAACTGTGAACCTTATGTATACTGCTCTTTTCTATACATAAGCACACCGACCTAATGCTTCTTCCATCTTGGATTTCAGTACTTATTATGCACAGTGGCTGTACTTCTGCAGTTTGAAGTCCGACAGCAAAATGAGCACCAGTTTCTCTTTCCTTCTGCATAATTTCACAGACAGAGTTGTTCTTACCAGGCATCTCGGCAACCTCAGTAGAGGATTCTTTCTCCCTTTCCTTGTTCAGCCGAAAACTTCTAGCTTTTCACTTAAAGGACGCACTCTATGGCTTTCCTTTGGCGTATCTGAACTGCCAGCATCACTCTTCCGCTTTCGGGCGTGATTAAGTAAGATAAGGGTGACTTGACTGCAAGCGCTGTGCTGCAGCCTGATAACCCAGACGGCCACCCTGTGGTTAACAGGCAGGTGGCGCAGGCAGCACGGAGATCACTGGTGGCCTGAGTGGGGTGGGGGAGGACTGTCAGATGTCACCATGCTACTCACATCAGCGCATAGCTTTTACAACTGAGGACTGTCGATTCCTGAGATTCTTTTCCATTTAACATTTTAGGACTGCAGTTGACTATAGCTGACTGAAGCCACGGGAAGTACAACTGCGCACATGGGGTTGTCAGCCTCCATGTAAAGCAAAGAACGTTCTCAGTTCCCTTCAAATCGCCAGAACCAAAGCTGACTCTTTGTACTTGATTTCCTGGCTGTTTCCCACAAGCATTTCTGAATAAAAGTCACCTGCAGATGCTCTCTACACCAAAACAGAGGGTCAGGTTTTCCACATGAACTCTCCCTAAAGGTAGGAGTTGAATGTAAAACTACTTAGAAGAGAATACCAAGAACTCTTTCATGGGTGTCAATGCTGACTACAAGCCTTGAAAGCTCTTATACCTAGATAGCAGATAAGTGCCTAAAACATAACCACTGGTAAACTTTGCATCATCCAGCTTGTATAAGAAATGGCATTCCATACCAGCTCCTGAAATACCCACACAATCTCATCAAGTCGAGATTTACAAAACTTTTCATTTTGAATAAGGGAGTAACAATTTCTCCACATCCAATCCTCACTTATTAGAAAAGAGGCATTTAACTCCTTTAAGATTGAAAACCAAGCATGCCGTCTTTCATTAAAAAAAGATTATAAAGAAAAAAAAATCATCACTTCTTAATGATTCATAAATGGCTCCTAAGTCTTCCTCTCATTCTACTTTATTTAAAAACTGTTCTTCCTGAAGTTTCAATTTAAAGTCTTCTCGGATTCTTTCCAGCAACTCTGGTTTAAAAATAACGTCCAGTGCAGTCATGGCCAGTGCTTTGGCTGTGCGCAATGTGTAGAATTGAGCTTCTTGTGATCCTAAAAGGCAGAGAAAATAAAATATCTTCATATTAACTAAAATTTAAGTTATTTAGCTTCCCGAGGGAGCTCCCTCCATCTAAGTCGCCTCTCCAATGCCCACCACAGTACAGTATTCTAGGTAGTGAAGTGATCAGCTCAAGTAAACAGTGAGAAAGACAGCTACACTGGGGAGAGAGAGCACATGCCAGAACATCACGGCTGACCACTCACCTGCAGCTGCGGTATACTGCTCAGTATGGTTCAAGGCATCAGATCCAATGTAAAAATAGGGATGAATCCCAGGAACCACAAAAGTCACATTTCCAAAATCAGTAGATCCTTCCAAAACACAAAATACTGACACTTAGTTAAATTTTTTTACAAGGTTATAACCAGAATTTTGCACTGGGTGTAGCTGTCCGCCCTGTTAGAAGAGACCTTGGCAGTGAACTTAAGAGTTGCCCACGTGCTCATGCTTTCACCCCCCCCCCTCACTCCAGGTTGTTTACATCTCCATCAATCAGTCACCACAACCGCACTCCCAGGGTCCCGGAGACCAGCCCCTCCCAACCCCACAGCCACTCCCACTGGACCCTGCCCTTCCTTGTCAACTGTTCTCCTGGATAGCACTTTTCAGCTCCGTTTTAGTTTTCCATTTTCATTGGGTTATTTGGTTAATGTCTACCCTGAGTGGATCTGACCACGTGCCTTCCCTCCTGTAGCTAAACTGCTGACAGAGGCTAGAGCCAAAGTTGAGGACCGTGAAGGCTGCCCAATACCAAGTTCATGGACTCCAAAGCAAAGCTGACCTCTCCATGCTGTTCAGAAAACAACTCCTCTCAGGGGCAATCCTCTTAAGTATCTTCCTTTAAAAACTATTTTCTGCTCCCTGTCTCCCTCAAGTGTGCATCCATTCTATTTTCCTTGAAAGATAACGTTCTTGAACCAGAGCAGTAGCCGGCGCCGCAGCTCACTAGGCTAATCCTCCGCCTTGCGGCGCCGGCACACCAGGTTCTAGTCCCGGTCGGGGCGCCGGATTCTGTCCCGGTTGCCCCTCTTCCAGGCCAGCTCTCTGCTGTGGCCAGGGAGTGCAGTGGAGGATGGCCCAAGTGCTTGGGCCCTGCACCCCATGGGAGACCAGGAGAAGCACCTGGCTCCTGGCTTTGGATTAGCGCGGTGTGCCGGCCGCAGCGTGCTAGCTGCGGCAGCCATTGGAGGGTGAACCAACGGCAAAGGAAGGCCTTTCTCTCTATCTCTCATCTCAACTGTCCACCTCTGCCCTGTTCAGACAAAAAAAAGAGATAAAAAATAATAGAAAAACAAAAAACAGAAACAGAGCAGCCTTCCTCCACCATCTCCTGTCTCACCACTCAGTGCAGCAGGTAGAGAAGTGAGATCCAGCTGGGTCCCACCAGCCATCAACTGTTTTCTTCCCAATCACCCAAGAGTTTATCATTGGTGGTCCAACGGCCCCTGGACCACACTTATCTCACTCCCACTCGCACCTGCCATGATTTTCTCCTCCTGCCCTCCTATGTGTTCTCTCCTCCCTCAGCTTCCGGGCCTGCACCCTCCTGACTGCCAGGCTCTCTGCCTCTCTGTGTCCTCTGGATACCTTAAATGCTACAGGCCCCCAGGACTTCCTCTTCAGGGTCTTTTCCCTCCCTGGACTCAGGCAACCATATGAATACCTATGTCGTCAATTACTTCCCACATAGCAGCAACTCCTGAATCTCCAACCTAGACCTTTATGGGGGCTCCAAATTCAACAGGCTGCTAAACAGCTCCACTAAGAAATCCTTTAAGCACCCCGAATTTAACACGCTAACAATTGATACCAACCTACTTGGCCCAACCTCTTTATTTTGAACTCATCTCAACAAACAATATCAAATCCTTTAGGAACAACTTCCTCAACATCCATTATTGTTTGAGGAGACATCTCTATCTTGCAAACTTATTAGTAACATCCTTTTAAAAGGAAAAAAATTCTGGCCGGTGCCGCGGCTCACTAGGCTAATCCTCCACCTTGCGGAGACGGCACACCGGGTTCTAGTCCCGGTCGCGGCACCAGATTCTGTCCTGGTTGCCCCTCTTCCAGGCCAGCTCTCTGCTGTGGCTAGGGAGTGCAGTGGAGGATGGCCCAAGTGCTTGGGCCCTGCACCCCATGGGAGACCAGGAGAAGCACCTGGCTCCTGCCTTCAGATCAGCGCGGTGCGCCGGCCGCAGCGCACCGGCGGCCGCAGCGCCCATTGGAGGGTGAACCAATGGTAAAGGAAGACCTTTCTCTCTGTCTCTATCACTGTCCACTCTGCCTGTCCAAAAAAAAAAAAAAAAAAAAAGGAAAAAAATCTAAAATGACATGATTTTTTAAATTCCAATATTTGTCTGTCAATCCCTGGAAACTGAAAGGACCCCGGATAAAGAAGTACTTAGTAACCTGCCTATTACGATAACTGAGGATGAATTTAAATTCTAGGTCCCACTTTAGTAGCTTTGGATTAAAATCGGAATTGAGAGAGGTCAGCTAGTATCTAGCGCACCAACTTAAACCATGGCTTATGGCACCCGCATCACCTGTGGGAGTACCTCGTTTGAGTCCTGGCCATCCCACTTCTGATCCACCTTCCTGCTAATGCACAACCTCGGGAGATAGCAGGTAAAGGCTCAAGTAGTTGGGCCCCTGCCAACCACATGGAGACCTGGATTGAATCCCACGCCCCTTGCTTCAGCCTGGCCCAGCCCTGGCTGTTGTGGGTATTTGGAGGAATATACCAACAGATGAAAGGTCTCTCTCTCTCTACCTTTCAAATAAAATAAAAGTAAATCAAAAAATTAAAACCAAGCAAATTTAGACCTTAGAGATATTTAGATTATAGACCAAAGAGTAGGTTGATATTCTACACTCACTGAAGAGTTCATCAGTTTCTTTCCCCTAACCATTATCAGAAAATATCATTAAAAACATCAGCAATACCTATCTCTCAAACAGTAAAACCATTTAACCAAAGACAGTTCTTCTCTTCCTCAAATGGCTCAATATGTAATAAAAGAACTGAATTACCTGAAGGGCCATTCAAAGTTGCATCTTCTGAAATGAAATCTATTCCCAGTTTTTTTCCATTTTCAATATAAGCTTTCCATAAGCTTTTATTGGGAAGAACATTGTAATAATCATGTGCTCCACCTTTAATTTCTACCTAGTTAAAAAAAATCACAAAATAAATTTTGAAATAAAAACCTCAAAATTCACTATTTAATTTTCAAAGCAGTGATGGTTCTCTAAGAGGAGGAGAAAAGGGAAAGTACTTCTCCTTCTAGATGGAAACTCTCTCAAATCTCTTTACCTTGAAAAAAATGTATATTTTCTCTTTTATGTTATATATGTACCAGACACACAATGTCACCAAGCTCTACAGTAGCCAATAAGAGCTTGGAAATTTCTATTTTAATCAGCATCCCTAAGGAATTCTGTTGCAGGTGGGTTTGAAAAAAAACAACACTCCGTAAGGTTGGAATTATGACGCACTGGGTTAAGCTGCTGCCTGCAATGCTGGCATCCCAAAGGAGTGCAGGTTCAAGTCCTGGCTGCTCCCTGCTAATAGGCCTGGGAAAGCAGTGGAAGATAGCCCAAGTACTTGGACCCCTGACACCCATGCGGGAGACGCACTAGATGGAGGTCCAGGCTCCTGATGTTGGACTCGCTCATCCTGGGCTGTTGTAGCCATCTGGAGGGTAAACCAGTGGATAGATCTCTGTCTCTCTTTCTCTGTCTTTCCCTCTCTCTAACTTGCCTTTCAAATAAATAAAATAAACATTAAACAAACAAACCACACTCTGAGGAACCCTGCTCTAGGATTCATTCTCCAAAAGGAAGTAGGCTTCACTAATATCCAACATAAAAACTGACCCTGAAAACACAGCCTGGTCTGAAAGGAATGATGATGGGGTGGGTGTCTGGTGCAGCAGTTAAGACACTACCAGGGATGCCACAGCCCATACTGGAGTGCCTGGGATTGAGTCTTGGCTCAGCTTCCTATTCTAGTTTCTTGCTGAAGGGCACCCTGGGAGGCAGCAGGTGACGGCTCAAGTACTTGGATCCCTGCCACCCATTTGGGAGACCCTGATTGAATCCCTGGCTCCTGGCTTCAGCCTTCCCTAGCCCCAGCCATTGCAGCCATATGGGGAGTGAACCAGCAGATGAAACACCTTTCTCTCTTTAACTCTGCATTTCAAATAAATAAGTAAATAATTGTTTTAAAAAAATGAAGAAACAAAGTGACTGACTTTATGGCTGAACTCAACAAGGCCTTGTGGCCAACTTCTGTGACTATTTTCACTTCCATTCCAACAAGCCCAAAGTATTTGTATCTCTACTACATGTTTACATGAATTATTCACCAAAAATAGGCTTTCTGGTTTTGTCATAAAATAGGAACCATCCAGGCAATTCTACAAGCACAGCTGACAATTAGGAAGGATGAAACCTGCAGAAGGGCAAGGACGCAAGTACAGCAGTGTCAGTCATCCCCATCACGAAGCAAGACGACTTGTAGTCTTTCCTATCACAGGCATTAAAGTAAAAGGTCGGGCTGGTGCTGTGGCGTAGCAGGTACAGCTGCTACCTGCAGTGCCAGCATCCCATATGGGCGCTGGTTCAAGTCCTGGCTGCTCCACTTCCGATCCAGCTCTCTGCTATGGCCTAAGAAAGCAGTAGAAGATGGCCTAAGTCCTCGGGCCCCTGTACCCATGTTGGAGACTGGGAAGAAGCTCCTGGCTCTTGGCTTTGGATTGGCACAGCTCCAGCCATTACAGCTATTTAGAGAGTGAACCAGCAGATGGAGGACCCCCCCCCCTCTGCCTCTGCCTCTCTGTAACTGACTTTCCAATAAATAAATCTTTAAAAAAAAAAAAACAGTAAAAGGTCTAAGAATTCAACACTTGCACGTTAACTATTCAGCCAACCCAATTTGCATGTTGAAGACAGCACCAAATGAAAAGGATGCACATTAGGTTTCCATCATACTCCATATATAACTGCCCCAGCCTGCCTCTATACCTCTGAGTCTAACTTAGAGTAACTCTTAAAGGTTCTTACTGTGCACCCTGTAGCCAAAGCTGCAGCTCTGAAGCAATCTTCTGCCTTTTTGGTCAAAACTTGAAGCTCTTTCATTGAGGGTGCACGGAAGTAATAGATTAATTCAGAGTAACAGGGAATGATATTGGGTTTTACACCACCATTTTTTATTATACCTACGAAAAGAATCAAATTACTGGAATTAACCTTGGTGACCACTTCCTTAAATTTAAACACACCCATATAGTTTTCCAGCCAATATGACACAGAGATCATTTTAAATTATTTGCTTTATCAATATGCCAAAGACTTTGATATATTATACAACAAAATTTTTATATGCAGGGTATTATTTTCTCACTAATTGGAAAAGTATATATAAAGTAATTATTTATACAAATTTATCCTAAGAAAAATACATAATGTTAAGAAATTATATGAGATTATTAAAAAAAACTGTTACAAATTATCTAACCACAAAAATAAACATAGTAACAACTTAAGCTTCCTGGAAAATATTTTTATTTCAGTAGGCTTTGTTTCAGTTGGACAATTTGATAAACTTCTGAAATAAAAAAGGGGGAAAACATGAGATTCTACTCATATGCACGGATTTCAAAAATGTTTTAGACCAAAATAAACTGATGTCATTTTCAATGAACTTTTTTGAAGTGCCCTCATATCATTACCCTTGTACTTCAAGAATTCCATGAATGTTTTAAAATGGCATTTAGCTAGGAAAACAGTTTTCATGCCAAAAACAAATCAATGCAGGGCAAGATCACAAAGTACTCTAAACAGTCAAGGCAAAGCAATTTATCTGTTACACAGAACAAAGACTTATTCACCCAAAGTAAGAACTAAAATAGATATGCAAAAGTAATTTCATATGACCTACTTTAAAAAAATATTTCTAGATATCCCCATTTGTTCCTTTTAAGAAAACTAATGCAGGCCGGCGCCGCGGCTCAATAGGCTAATCCTCCGCCTAGCGGCGCCGGCACACCGGGTTCTAGTCCCGGTCGGGGCGCCGGATTCTGTCCCGGTTGCCCCTCTTCCAGGCCAGCCCTCTGCTGTGGCCAGGGAGTACAGTGGAGGATGGCCCAGGTGCTTGGGCCCTGCACCCCATGGGAGACCAGGAAAAGCACCTGGCTCCTGGCTCCTGCCATCGGATCAGCGCGGTGCGCCGGCCGCAGCGCGCAGGCCGCGGCGGCCATTGGAGGGTGAACCAACGGCAAAGGAAGACCTTTCTCTCTGTCTCTCTCTCTCACTGTCCACTCTGCCTGTCAAAAAAAAAAAAAAAAAAAAAGAAAACTAATGCAGGAGATTGGTAAAAGTACAATTACAAACTGATTCCAGCCTATAGCAAGATCAGGTAAAGAACAGGTATCAAAGTATAACAATTTCCTAAATCATAAGAAAATAAATTAAAAACAAACTTCTGCCTTCAAGAGAGTATTTATTATTGTATTTTTATAATAGTGATAGACATAATTTTAAAAGATGTTACTCAGGGTTGATACTGCCAGCCTGCAATGCTGGCATCCCTTATGGACACTGTTTTGAGACCCAGCTGCTGCACTTCCGATCCAGCTCTCTGCTATGGCCTGGGAAAGCAGCAGAGGATGGCCCAAATCCTTGGGCCCCTGCATCCATGTGGGAGACCCTGAAGAAGCTCCTGGCTTCGGGCTTCAGATCAGCCCAGCTCAGGCCATTGTAGCCATTTGAGGAGTGAACCAGTGGATGCAAGGCCTTTCTCTCTCTCTCTGCCTCAGCCTCTCTGTAACTCTGCCTTTCAAATAAAGAAATAAATCTTTTTTAAAAAATGTTACTCAAAATTTAATAGCACTTGAATAAATTAAACCAGTAATTATTACACTTGTTTATAAACTGAAGAAAAACATTACTTTATCATTACCTTTTAACAAATAATCAAGTCCTAATTTTCTTTTTTTTTTTTTAAAGATGGATTTATTTATTTGAAAGTCAAAGTTACACAGAGAGAGAAGGAGAGGCAGAGAGAGAGAGAGAGAGGTCTTCCATCCGCTGGTTCACTCCCCAATTGGCCATAACGGCCGGAGCTGCACTGATCCAAAGCCAGGAGCCAGGAGCTTCTTCCGGCTCTCCCACGTGGGTGCAGGGACCCAAGGACTTAGGCCATCTTCTACTGGTTTCCCAGGCCATAGCAAAGAGCTGGATCAGAAATGGAACAGCCAGGTCTTGAACTGGCACCCATATGGGATGCTGGCGCTTCAGGCCAGGGCATTAACCCGCTGCACCACAGCGCCAGCCCTAAGTTCTAATTTTCAAATCCCACAGAAAGAATGTTGACTTCCTACGTAAAACCTTTTATCTCTGTTACTGAGAGACAACCATTCCATTTATTTATCATAATTATAGTTGTCTTCCTACCCTTGTATGGACAAACAGCCTAAGATGCAGCTACATGAATGTCTGAAAACATGTTTAAAAAGTCCACAATATTCATATGAAGTAGATAACATTTTGTGAAATGCTTTTTAAAAATCAAACAGTAAGCAGTTATACTGCATCGAATATACCAAGCACCATCTGTTACACTGAGTATTTGGCATTCATACCGTGCGTTCTCCAGGCTGGTTTCATTTGCTGTCTTAGCACAGACAGGTTGTTGTAGGCGAGAACCGCTGCATCTAAGGCATTTACTCCTTCCCAGGGGTAAGCAGCAGCGTGGGACGCTTTTCCATAATATTTCACAGTCATGCTAGAGAATAAAGAGCATCTGAAGTTACTTCTCCCATTATCACTAAAGTAAGAAAACTCAGAGGTACCCAGTGGTTATTCAAAATGAGATCGCAATGCTGGAACTTTGACGTGTAAATGATTCACTTGTGTTATAGCGCACTCTTACGTAACACAGTGCCTGACACAAAGAAAGCATTCCGAAAAGAGAAAGAGAACTCTGCTTGCTCAGACTAAATCTGTACGCAACCCAATTCAAACTGATAGGCACTACTGCAGTGGGGCTAGAATCACAAAGCAAAGGGCTCTTGTCTCCTTTTATGTTGCACCGAGATACTTCTGTACCAAAGGTCTGCAAAAACACCTAATCCTGTCTGCAGAGGGGGAGGCCAGGGAAAGACAGAAAGGAAGTCATATTTGAAGTAGGCTAGGACAACCTCTGAAGATGAGGTTATATTTACAACTCACTGGAAGATACCCTAGCATTAGGTCAGTTAATCAATAATTTATTAATCATAATTAATAAACAAATAATTTATTGATGTTCCAAAATATATATTATATATTAATAACCAATAATTTACTAATGTCCAAAAAATATACATCACTAACTATATCTATTACATATATTAATGACCAAGAATTTATTAATGCCCCAAAATACATGTATCACTAATATTTTAAGATTTCATAAACTGCTTGTTACTCTATTTGTGATTGCTCTCATGCCAGTCTACATACCCAGATACAATTAAAAAATGGGTTTAGAAAAACAACTGCATATTAGTTACTTATAATGCTCAATGATTTACTTGCTTAGTTAAGACTTTTTAATCCTAATAGTACTTACATTCAGATTATTTTGAAAAGCACTCTGAACTCTTTTTATGTCTATATCTTTTTTTAAAAGATTTATTTATTTATTTATTTGAAAGGTAGAGTTACAGACAGTGAGAGGGAGAGACAGAGAGAAAGGTCTTCCTTCCATTGGTTCACTCCCCAAATGGCCACTACGGCCAGAGCTATGCCGATCCAAAGCCAGGAGCCAGGTGCTTCCTCCTGGTCTCCCATGTGGGTGCAGGCACCCAAGCACTTGGGCCATCCTCCACTGCCCTCCCAGGCCACAGCAGAGAGCTGGACTGGAAGAGGAGCAACCAGGACTAGAACCCAACGCCCATATGGGATTCCGGCGCCAAAGGTGGAGGATTAGCCAAGTGAGCCATGGCGCCAGTCCCTTTATGTCTATCTCTTTTTATACTGAGACAACCTACATGACATGTTTTTTCCTTAGAAACAATGCTTCGGCATGACCGTACTGTACACAGCAGGTTAAGCCACCACCTGCAGCTCCAGTGTCCCAGATCAAAGGGCTGGTTTGAGTCCTGGCTACTCTACTTCTAATCTAGCTCCCAGCTAATGCACCTAGGAAAGCAGTAGAAGCTGGCCCATGTACTTGGGCCCCTGCCATCCATGGGGGGAGACTGTGATAGGTGTCTGGGCTTCTGGTTTTGGCCTCAGCTAGCCCAAGTCACTGTGGTTTTTTGGGAAATAAATCAGCAGATAGAGGATTCTCTCTCTCTCTCTCTCTCTGTAACTTTCCAATAAACAAATAAACCTTAAAAAAAATGTTTCCACTGCAAGTAAACCACAGTCAAAATAACTCCAGAGCTCAAGATAACATCAGTCCCATGTCTTATAAATCCTGGACAAGCAGCAACCAGTTAGATACAAAGTAATTGCCAAATTTGTTAACATTTCTCCATTTCTAAACCATCCTTAAAGAAAATAGGGCACCGCCATTCTCATGCAAGTCCAGCAGAGCAACCATGCCACCTGGATTCATGTTCTCATCAAGAAAGAACTGGCAGAGGCCGGTGCCATGGCACAGTAGGTTAAACCTCCACCTGCAGTGCCGGCATCCCATATGGGCGCCTGGTTCTAGTCCTGGTTGCTCCTCTTCCAGTCCAGCTCTCTGCTGTGGCCCGGGAAGGCAGTGGAGGATGGCCCAAGTGCTTGGGCCCTGCACCCACATGGGAGACCAGGAAGAAGCTCCTGGCTCCTGGGTTTGGATCGGCGCAGCACCGGCTGTAGTGGCCATTTGGGGGTGAACCAATGGAAGGAAGACCTTTCTCTCTGTCTCTCTCTCACTGTCTAACTCTATCTGGCAAATAAATTGAAAAAAAAAAAAAACTTAAAAAAAAGAAAGAACTGATTTTTCTTGAAATCAGCAAGGATCTGCTTGGTTTGTTCTGTAGCCCATTATAAAAGCTTTCACTTTTTCTGGTCTCTGTTCTTCAACTCTGCCCTTAATTGATTTCAGACAATTTTTTTAAAGCATTGACTTTTTTTTTTAAGATTTATTTATTTATTTGAAAGGCAGAGTTACAGAGAGGCAGAGGCAGAGAGAGAGAATGAGAAAGAGAGAGAGAGAGAAGGAGAGAGAGGTCTTCTATCCCCTGGTTCACTCTCCAGTTAGCCGCAACAGCCAGGGCTCCACCTATCCGAAGCCAGGAGCCAGGAGCTTCCTCCAGGTCTCCCACTTGGGTGCAGGGACCCAAGGACCTGGGCCATCTTCTACTGCTTTCCCAGGCCATAGCAGAGAGCTGGATCGGAAGTGGAAGAGCTGGGTCACAAACCTGTACCCATATGGGATGCCCGCACTGCAGGCAGGGCTTTAACTCGCTGCACCACAGCGCCAGCCCCTTCATGTAATTTTGACGTACTTCTATGATTCTTTTGTGAGTTTCCTGCAAGTGGTTGTTCCTAACAGTATCAATGCCTGTGATCACTGTGCTGTCTACCTTAGCCCTCGAGGGCTTGGGCAGAGGCACTTCCGCCAACGAGCGTATCATCACTATTCCCGAGCGCATCATCACTAATCCTCCCCTGTTCCTGGGTGTTGTAAATGTCAGAGAAAGCACTGTGGCTGATGAGCTCCTCATAGATAATCCTGATGGCCCCAGAGCAGGAGTGAGAGCTCTGGATCGCTCTCAGGGAGGCAGGCTGGGCGGGAAAGCTGCCTGATCTTTTTAATGGGCTAGATTCAGGAGTCCTCTGAAAGCTCATGTCATTTCTCCACTGAACCTCACCCATAAGACTTTAGGATACCAGTCATTTCCTACCATATATAACTTGCTTCTTATCACCATCACCTTGAAACTAGAATTTATCAAAACTGTTGATAAATATTATTAAAAGGAAAAAGAAGCCCTTCACTTCTTCCAGGTTTACTTCTATTTATAACTGATGCACAACTGCAGGAAAAGAAATGGTGGGGTTCCAGTGCGAGATGCTTGAGGACAATCTAGATGCACCGCTGGGAGGGTATTTCCCTACACAGGGAGAACCCAGGGTTTTCCTGAAGCAGCTGAGCAGTGATTTCCTGTGACTACAACACTAACTGGACCACTAACACTATGGCTGAAATTTCTCCTGTGAAAAATTCAAGCCACTTAATGATGCATCAAAAAAGTGGGCTTCTCAACATAAAGATAAATAGGTTTCAGTACCAAACCAATCAATCTGAAAAGCACAGACTGACAAATTCCACTAAAATCCACTTTGTGGAGCCAACTTTGTGGCTTAGCTGGTAAAGCCATCACCTGCAATGCTAACATCCCATATAGTCACTAGGTCCAGTCCTGGCTGCTCCACTTCCAATCCAGCTCCCTGCTAATCCACCTGAGAAAATAGCTGAAGATGGCCCAAGACCTTGTGCCCCTGCACCCACGTGGGAGACCTGGAAGAAGCTCCTGGTCCAGCCCTAGCTGTTGTGGCCATTTGGGGAGTGAACCAGCAGCTGGAAGATTTTTCTCTCTCTCTCTAACTGTACCTTTCAAATAAATAAAAATAAACCTTTTTTTGTTTTTAAAAAATCCACAGCTACTCAGGTTTCTACATCCCCTTCTCCATACATAATTTATCCTCTTTGCAGAGAATCCAAATAAAAAGTATGTTTTCTTCCCAAGTATACACTCTCTTTTCAGTTGTAAAGACAACTTCTTGAATGGGACTGAGAATGGAAGGAGGAGAAGGTGAAGGAAGAGGGGTGGGAGAGTTGGGGGGGGGGGTGTGGGTATGGTGGGAAGATTCACTATATTCCTAAAGTTGTACTTATGAAGTGCATGAAGTCTGTATTTCTTAAATAAAAGCTTTCTTTAGAGGGGGAAAAAAGACAACTCCTTATCAAACTAATCAAAGAAACTTACTTTCAGAGTTCAAAATAGATCATAAGCATTAACATGTTCTATTTGATATTCCTATGCTTTTTAGCACAATTTTAATACTCCAATTATAAACACCATTAAATTTTCAATTACCAGAGGCTTGCCAAATGTCATTCAATGTAAATTACAAAGTATCACATCATTAGCTTTCAATTTATTTCAATTAATGCTTTAAGTGGGTAAATGTCAAATATTCTATGGCCTGTTTTCCACTAAGTTTACCTTCAACTTGATTACTTACTCGTGTTCAGCCACATCCGGTAGATAAGCAGCGTTCTCCTGGGATGGGTGGGCCATAAAAACAACATCAAGGTTTTTAAAGGCCCCTGCTTCAATTAAATCAATTTTGCCACCACCATCTTCTTCAGCAGGGGTTCCCAGGACAATGACCTGGAAGGAAATAGCTATGTCAGAGCAAAACGAGCAAAAAAAGTTCCTCGTAGGAAATATCAAACAGGTTCCCTCGCATATCCATATTCACAATCTACACGGAAGTCCTCAAACTACAGAGAGAGGTTTTCTTCCCTGATACTTATACAGTGGTCGTAAATACGATGCTAAATTCATCACAGAATCTACATAGTCGAGCCAACTTGGTATAAGGTACGGATTAGAGACCCTGCAGAAGCCTTCCCCAGTTTTATAGCGAGTTCATATAACCCACGGTAAATATGAAACAAGTTAAATACTATACTACATACCTAGTTCCTCAACTTTTGTTAGAATTCATTTCTTAAAGCTTCTTCCTGGGCCTTTTAGAACATGCATAAAGACCCAGGAGGACTTCACCGGCAAGGAACTGTCCAGCTCCTTCTAGTGATCCTCACAACACCCCTGTGAGGTAGGTGAGCGCTCTGCCCAGCACTGCGGGAAGGCGGTTCTGAGGGACAGAGTGGATACGTCTTCAGGCAGAGCTGGCATCAGCAGAGGCCTTGACCTCCAGGCCTGAACTCTGATTCCTCACTGAGCTCCCTACTTACAAGTCTTTACTCATTAATCCTTTACGAAAACCATTAAACAAGTCTTAATACCATGGTTAGAAACGACCAACTATTACACAAACTTACTAATTCGATTCCACCAGTTCAACCAGGCAGATTTATTGGTCACCAAACACCTAATTAAACAAAAGAGAACTTTACAGAATAAACATTTTACTTTGATAGTTAAGCTTAACTTCTGCAAACAGTTCTTAAAAGCAAGGTTAAAAAGGATTGATAAACAACTAATACATTTTCAAGGTCAAGTACAAGAAAGAACACGAAGATACAAGCTTGAAAAAGTCTTGGCTTACACAGGAATGGCTTAAATCCCATTTTCAGGTAAGGCAGATAACTTAACCTTGCTAAAACTCAGCACAACCATTTGAAATTAGAAATTTATGCATTTCCCAAAGTCTAGCTTTCTTTAGAAGCTGTGAAGCACCTCAACTCTTTTAAGCTGCTCGTCACTTTTTTTTTTAATCTTTTTTTTTTTTTGACAGGCAGAGTGGATAGAGAGAGAGAGAGAGAGAGAGAGAGAGAGAGAAAGGTCTTCCTTTTGCCGTTGGTTCACCCTCCAATGGCCGCCGCCGCTGGCGCGCTGCAGCCGGCGCACCGTGCTGATCCGATGGCAGGAGCCAGGTACTTATCCTGGTCTCCCATGGGGTGCAGGGCCCAAGGACTTGGGCCATCCTCCACTGCACTCCCGGGCCACAGCAGAGAGCTGGTCTGGAAGAGGGACAACCGGGACAGAATCCGGCGCCCCGGCCCGGACTAGAACCCGGTGTGCCGGCACCGCAAGGTGGAGGATTAGCCTAGTGAGCCGCGGCACCGGCCTAAGCTGCTTGTTACTCTTAACATCAAAATTTGATGATTCTGTTTCTGGCTATTCAAAATCTTTCATAAACTTCGGGAAAATTCATCTCTCTCCAGCGTGTCATGCAATGACAAAGGACACCCCCCTCCAGAGCAAAACAAAACAAAAACCTAATAAAATGCAAAAATAAGCCCAGAAGCAGAAAAGTGAAGGCAACTAAAGAGAAAAAGCCACAAAAGATGGAACTGTTAGGGTCAAAGGGAAAAGGTTACTGACATGGGGAGGGGAGAATGAACTATGGAATATTAAAACATTTGTCTTCCCTTTAACCTGAATGATGATTGAATCTTAGCTCACAGAATGAAGAAAATACCATCTGGAAAAACAGAGTAACACAAGATTAAACTTGCCTTTGACAAGCGTAAAATGGCATTTCCCCCTTTACAGACGAGACAGAGATATTTCTTAACATTATGAACTAAAAATTCTGACTTAAGGACGAACTCCTCGACGTAGTTAAGGGCTTTGGCTTCGTCATTTGCATACTTCTAGTGGCTCCCCGGTCCTGACGACTGAAAAGTTCCTGTCTAAAGACTCTAAAGCAGCTCCTATGACCGCCATAAACCAAAGAGATCTTCCGGAGCTTATTAACGAATTAAAGTGAGACTGTAGATTTCCTACAAAAAATTATTTCCTCTAGCGATTGCATAATGTTGTCAGCAAATTGCGGTGGCCTCGGTTACCAAAAATAACCCGTAACGACAATCGGGCCCGGTTCTAAGCTCCTTCCTAAGGGACGGTTCATGGAGTTGTTTACGACTACAGAAGGGGTTACGAAAGTCTGCAAAATGTCTCCGGTCGGCAGCTCGGGAACCCCTGCCTCTCCATTGCGGGGTTTTGTTCTGACTTTGGGCAAAGGCGAGGGTTGCCGGAGATCGGGATGCGCAGGGGAGCTGCGATCCCCGGGTCGCTCCTGGAGTCGCGCGCCCCGGCCCCACCTCACCTTGACCGGCGGAGACGCTCCCGGGAGGCCCTCCAGGGCCCCCTTCACGCCCAGCGCGGCCGCCGCCCCGACCTCGGCGATGAGGTTGTGGCCGCAGGCGTGGCCGATGCCGGGCAGCGCGTCGTACTCGCAGAGGAAGCCCAGGTGCAGCGGGCGCGGCGCGGCGCTCTGCGCGCGGCCGCCCGGCGACTCCCACTCGGCGCGGAAGGCCGTGGGCAGCTGGTAGTGCGGCTGCACCGCCCAGGAGGCGGCCGGCGGCTCGCGCTCGAAGAAGCGCGTCAGGACGCCGTGGGCATGGTGCTCCTCGTAGGCCAGCTCGGGCTCGCTCCAGATGGCGCGGCTCAGGGCCCACAGCCGCTCGGCCGCCTCTTCGATGCGCTCCGCGGCGCGCAGCTTCAGCAGCTCCAGCTCCGAGACGCCGACGCACGCGCCCCCCTCCACGGGCCGCTCCTCTCCGGGTCTCATCGTGCCCCAGCCAGCGACCTGCAGCCCACCGCTAGCTTGCTCGCTCGCTCGTAGCTGCTTACTGCACCCTCGCACGCGCGCAGCTGCCCATCGAGCCCCGGGCGCACTCCCGAAGGCCCTCCCCGAGCCCCGGCGCCGCCCCCAGCGCTCCCGGGAGCTGTCCACTGGGCGGGGAAGGCGGAGCTCGGGGCTGGACTCCGGACTTCCATCTCCTTGGAGTCCTGGTGTTTGGTTCATCCTCTAGGATCCTTATTACTTGTTTTTGCTTCTTGCCCTCAGTAGCAGAATGAGAGTGGTTTTACTGGTTAAGAGCTATCGGAGACAGACGATGTGGAACAGTCGGCTGAAACGTGCTATTCTTTCTAGTAATATTAATACATATATTGTACAAGGTTTTCAGTTTCCAAAAGAAGAGTATCAATATTGAAACTGTACAAACAACACTGATCTATGTACTTCACACACTTGAATTTTCGGGTCTGTCCTCACTTTCTTCTCCTTGGGGTTGTATTATCTAAAAGCTGCCACCAATCTGCACAGTTTTCTCATTAGGATAAAAACTAAGTGTTCCACAGCACCCACATTCTACAGTAAGTTCTCAATATGTACTAGTTATGATAGTTTATTTGAAGAAAGTAGAACTAGGAATTTAAAATGTGCTTAAAAAACAAAAAAAGAGTTAAAAAGTTTATGGTAATATTCATACTGTGTCGTTGATGTGGATGATGGTTGAACAGTAACAGCTTTGATAGAGAACATATGACTGGTTGCATTTACAATTTTAATTGATGCTGAGCTCAAGTAACATGATATGTGCAGCTGGTGTTCACATTAAAACAGGGTTTTAGATTACCCAAAGAGGAAATTCAAGATGTCTTGCTCTTGTTTTTCTCCAGGGTGAAGCCCCAAGTGTGAAATGCTGTTGTTGATGGTAGGCCTATTAATAACATCGGGGAAGTTCACATTCTGAGATTTTCCACATATTAAAAGCTTCTATCCTAAAAACTTGCCATGAGACTCCAAATCCCATTAAGTTGGCAGGTACCAATGCCATCTTACGAGTTATCGAAAGTGATCAGTTTAAGTTCATAACTTATCATAAAGATAGGAATAAGTGTCAAAGGGATCACATAAATAAGACCAAGAGTCTGCTAATAATAAATGATAGAATTAAAAAGGAGAGAATGGTCCAACATGGGAAGCAGGACACACGGCAGACTCATAGAATGACAAATGCCCTAAACAGCACTCTAGCCTCAGAATCAGCCCTTAAGGCGTTCAGATCTGGCTAAAAAGCACATGAGAAGGCCGGCGCCGTGGCTCACTAAGCTAATCCTCCACTTAGCGGTGCTGGCACATCAGGTTCTAGTCCCGGTCGGGGCACCAGATTCTGTCCCGGTTGCCCCCCTTCCAGGCCAGCTCTCTGCTATGGCCCGGGAGTGCAGTGGAGGATGGCCCAAGTACTTGGGCCCTGCACCCCATGGGAGACCAGGAGAAGCACCTGGCTCCTGCCTTCGGATCAGCGCGGTGCACTGGCCGCAGCATGCCGGCTGTGGCGGCCATTGGAGGGTGAACCAACGGCAAAAGGAAGACCTTTTCTCTCTGTCTCTCTCACTGTCCACTCTGCCTGTCAAAAAAAAAAAAAAAAAAAAAAAAAAGCACGAGAGCATTTCAGGCATAGGCATGGAAATACAAGATACTGTGGCAACAAATGACCTATATGAAAGATCTCTGTGAGTGAGATCCTGGTGGAAAGAAGGGGCCATCAAAGAAGGAAGTACCTTTCTCTGAAGAGAGGAGAGAACTTCCACTTTGATTATGGCCCTGTCTACATAATGTCAGAGTTTGTGGACTCAAGAGGCTTCCATAGCCTTGGCAGCTGATGACAAGAGCATTGGGTGATCACTGATGTCATAAATAAGAGTGTCAATTGTTAAATCAACAACAGGAGTCACTGTGCACTTGCTCCCCATGTAGGACCTCTGTCCTTAATGTGTTGTACTATGAGAATTAACGGTAAAACTAGTCTTCAAATAGTACTTTATACTTTGTATGTCTGTGTGGGTGCAAACTGTTGAAATCTGTTGATCTTCTGTATATAAAGATAATTAAAAATGAATCTTAATGAAGAATGGGAAGGGAGAGGGGGTGGGAGGACGGGTATAGGGGGAAGAAGCGCTATAAAACAAAAGTTGTACTTATGAAATTTATATTCATTAACTAAAAGCTTTCTATTAAAAAAAAAAAAAAGCTGGGGCTAGCGCCACGGCTCACTTGATTAATCCTTTGCCTGTAGCACCAGCATCCCATATGGGCGTTGTGTTCTAGTCCCGGTTGCTCCTCTTCCAGTCCAGCTCTCTGCTGTGGCCCGGGAAGGCAGTGGAGGATGGCCCAAGTGCTTGGACCCTGTACCCGCATGGGAGACCAGGAGAAAACACCTGGCTCCTGGCTTCAGATTGGCATAGCTCCAGCCGTAGTGGCCATTTTAGGGGTGAACCAACGGAAGGAAGACCTTTCTCCCTGTCTCTCTCTCTCACTGATGTCATAAAAAAAAAAAAATCTCTGTCAAATAAAAAAAAAAAGCTTATATCGGATCTTCCTACTCTATCCAATCTCTTTCCTTAATTTGTCACAACTGGGGCTGATGCTGTGGCATAATGAGTAAACCTGCCATCTGTGATGCCAGCCTCCCATCTGGGCACCAGTTCGAGTCCGGCTGCTCTACTTCTAATCCAGCTCCTTGCTAATGTGACTGGGAAATCAGTGGAAGATGGCCCAAGTGCTTGGGCCCTTGCATCCACATGGGAGATCCAGAAGAACCTGGCTTCCTCCTGACCCAGCTCTGGCCATTGCAGTCATTTGGAGAGTGAACCAGCAGATGAAAAGCTCTCTCTCTCTCTCTCTCTCTCTCTCTCTCTCTCTGTAACTTTGCTTTTCAAATAGATAAATAAAAATTGTCACAACAAGGTTAAGGAGGACACAATAATTATACTTTTTTTTTTGGGGGGGGGGGACAGGCAGCGTTAGAGAGAGACAGAGAGAAAGGTCTTCCTTTGCCATTGGTTCACCCCCAAAATGGCCGCTACGGCCGCGCACTGTGCCGATCCGAAGCCAGGAGCCAGGTGCTTCCTCCTGGTCTCTCATACGGTGCAGGGCCCAAGCACTTTGGCCATCCTCCACTGCCTTCCTGGGCCATAGTAGAGAGCTGGACTAGAAGAGGAGCAACCGGGACAGAACCCGGTGCCCCAACTGGGACTAGAACCCAGGGTACCGGCGCCACAGATGGAGGCGGCGCTGGCCCACAATAATTATACTTTTTAAAGCTAAGGGAAGTTAACATACACAAAGACTGTGAAATGCTGGGGTAGTTTTTTTTTTCTACTCTATAAGTTAATAATGCCAGAGTAAATGTCACATTCTAATCTGAATACATTATCTTTCTCAGTGAACACCCTGAGATTCAGCCCTAAAGACAATAAAAGTGGTATTAAATTCCTGGCCCCCTTAGGCTGTACTTATAAACCCTGTCGGGTATACTTCTAAGATCTTTCCTGTCTATGAGATTCAGTATTGTGCTCCATTAGTTGGCTAAAAAACCAGAGCCCTGTAAAAACAACATCTGCAGAACAGTTATTCTGTGCTGGGTACTGTTCCAAGTGCTTTATATGTATTAACACATTTAATCCACCAAACAGCCTAGGAGACTGTTAATGTGATTATTTACAGACAACTGTCCAAGATTACACAGCTAGTAAGTAGTGGACCAAGTGGAGAGAAGAAGCCAGAGTCAGCCTTTAGTGGACTACTTCAGTCCACCAGTCTCTATTATTTGTGTAGCTGGAAATCCAAGTTCATAAGTGCATCTACAGCTCATCTGTTCATATCACAACTCAAGCAATTTTACTGCAGCAACTCTCCCTGCTGTCATCAGTAGAACCCGTTTGTTCTCATCAGTCAGCAATGAACAGCAACAGAGTAAGGGCTGTGTATATATTCTATGTACAGGCTGCTGTTTATACTGCTTGTTTGAAATCAACGAAGCTTCACTTGAGGTATGGAAAAAATTGCTCCAAGCTCTCTGTGTGCGCATGAATGTGTGTGCATGTGTTAAGTTTCTTTTGTTAACACCTTATATGTCTTACTCATGATACTGTGTGCCCTTGAGTCCATTTATTGAATAAATTGTGATAATCTGTTGAATGCATATCTTCCCCCTATAGTGTTCAAACTCATTTGTTTTACCACTGTATTCTCCAGAACCTATTTCCATATGGTCGTGTTTCAGAAAAACTCATTTTATAAGAACTGGCCACCTTGGCTGGCACCGCAGCTCACTAGGCTAATCCTCCGCCTATGGCGCCGGCATACCAGGTTCTAGTCCTGGTTGGGGCACCGGATTCTGTCCCGGTTGCCCCTCTTCCAGGCCTGCTCTCTGCTGTGGCCAGGGAGTGCAGTGGAGGATGGCCCGAGTGCTTGGGCCCTGCACCCGCATGGGAGACCAGGAGAAGCATCAGGCTCCTGGGTTTGGATCAGCGCGGTACACTGGCCGCAGCAGCCATTGGAAGGTGAACCAATGGCAAAGGAAGACCTTTCTCTCTGTCTCTGACTCTCTGTCCACACTGCCTGTCAAAATATAAATAAATAAATAAATAAATAAATAATAAAAAAAAGAACTGGCCACCAAAGGTGTAAGGTACCAAGAGACCAAAGGAAGAAGCAGGCAGATTCAGGATTACATATAGTTTAATTTATTAGGGACCCAGGACAGAAGTATTTCTTCCACAGCAATGAGACAAGAAGATCCCCCTATGACACAAAACAGGAGAGAAATAGTTTATGTACCAAGCTAGAGAAAGGTGGCGAACTGGAACCTACTTGGACTTTCTCAAGAAATACCAACATTTCAGACTTCACATAACAGATATTCCAGGGATCAGTTCCCAGTGGGTAAAACTTGGCAGATTACTTTCACCACTTTACTCCAAACAGTTTGAGATGACTGTCAAGGTCATCTACAGGATAAGATGGCAGGTACAACCAACAAGGCTGCAGCCACATCAAGCTGGATCCCTGTGGGTCACGACGCAGCCCTTCATCTGTGTCAACATATTTTTTTTTAAGATTTTTATTTATT